AGGGGGGCGCGGCTTCACGCTTCAACGCTTCTAGGGGCGGCGGCGGCAGCGGGCTCGTGCATGATGGCAAGCCCACCCCCGACTGTAATAACGATTTTGTTCTCCATTCTCCCATTCCTATCGCCGGGGACCCGAATCAGACCTAACAGCTGAGGGTTATTCCTTGTATGATTTGATCTTTGCGTCTCCTTTTTCGAGCTGTGCCTCTCGGATACTCTCCTTTTTCGGGGGGACTCTCACTCAATCTTGAAATGAAGGGATACAAAAGGCATACCCAAAAACCTGTTCGTCTCATCTCGCTGACGTCGGGGATCTGACTCGTGTATCTACGCTGCCGCGTCGCCGCACAATGTTGGAGGCGTTGCTGCTGATAACGGTTTCTAGGAGTCGAAGTCGAGAAAACGCCACGGCCGACGGCAACTCCAAGCGGTTCTTGATCCAAGACGCCTCGTGTGTGTCTGTCGTTGTCGGTGTAACTGAGTGCGTGGGATTACACGAAGCGATTTGATCAATATGGGCCCATCCACGCATCCTTCAGTGTCTGTGACCAGGGAAGAGGTCCCAAAACTCCATTCTTCGGCAGTGGCCCGGGGAAGGGTGACGTTCACCTCGCCTTTAGTAGCGCGTAGTAAGTCTGATGTCGTATGGGAATGGTTGCAGAATGTCGCGATAGGCAACACGCCAGAGCTATCTACGAATAGGCTTGTGTTTGATGTTATCCGCCCGCCGGCACCTAAAGACTAGATCTATCTGACCTGTCTGGCATCTACAGTGACAGTGACAGGCTGACAGCAATAGATCAGCTCCATGCCAAGGCTAGGCGCATATGTTCGCAGCTCGTCTAAACCGACAAACGCGGGATGTGGCACGGTGTCTCCGCTAGCTCTCACTTAGTGCGCGGCATGTCTATGGTCTTGATCTTCAACTCCGGGAACCGGAATGACGATAGTGTTCCATGGCCCGAAGATGGTGTTCTGCGAGTGTATGGCAGTGTAGTGTGCGTATGCGGGCGGCCGGGAGAAGCGTCAACTCTATGGCTATTTAGTGCTGGCCGCCTGCGCGCGCCGGCGGGCTGTCTCTAAGGGGCTGCAAGGCCTGGACCCGCTGCCCGGCGGGCATCTGTGGGTACGCCCCGAGCCGATCGGCAAGGGCGTGCGGTTGTTAGGGAGTTGAGGCTTGCAGCTGGACCGTTCGAGCCGTAACATCGGAGTCTCACACTCCAATATCTTTGCAACATTCACACGTGGAGGTTGGCAACTCCTTCGTTCTGATTAGAGCAGTTTCCCGAGCTTCGGGACTCTTGTTGCAACCTGGCCAAAAAAAGCTTCAACTATCCGTAAACGAGGTGCCCAACTATTGATTCGCCTTCTCTCCGAAATCATCCGAGTTTTCGAAGAATTTGATGGATCGAAAGTCTCGATGTCCAAGTCCGAAACCGATCAAGGCATTGTAATTCTCTTCAAAGCTGAATCGTCTTGGCTTATTTTGGCAGTGTCTTTTGAAGAGAAAGTCAACCGTTTGTAGAGGGATCAGCGGACATCTGCCAGCATGACCTGGTGAATCTCCCTTTCCCCTCAATCACAACGGCATTCCTTTTCTTGTTACTCCTCCCTCGACGATTTACCTGCCGTCGTCTTTTACAAATCTCCATAAAATCGAAACATGGAATTGGAACGACTGAAGGCATCAGCTTCACCTTTTGAGAGCGAACTTTTCCTTTGTTACTCCTGGGAGTCTTCTTTACCAAAGCAAACTCGAGCATCAAGTGATGCCAATCAGGTTTTCAAACCAGCATTTCGGCAATCATAAGGTATCTTGAACGCGCATAGCGTTTGATATTTACTGAATACCGATTGGAAACTCAGTAGCTAAAGCCACGGCGCATCGGTTCTGACTTGGAAAGCGTGCGTATGTGGCAAGGTTTCAATGAGAAGAAGCCCAGGCCAAGTCTTCGTCGCGGCGCGGATACACGTTGCCAGGCTCATCTTACAATCTGGATTAGACGTATTCAACCGACACTAGGTCTATGATTTGATGTAAGCCAAGCATTCTTTGCCATATTTCAGCGGTTGTAGACCTAACTATTATTTAGAGCAGCTTGCACCAGACCGAGACACTATCGGAACCGACTTCTCCTCTATCAACGAACATCATCAACCGCCTCAGCTTCAAGCCACCTTGTCTGAGAGTTATGAATAGTCCGGAGACACTAGACAAGAGTTAGGGGCCATCTCTCCTAGAGCAAGTCCGAGTCGTATAGTCTTGCCGTGACCTCAGTCAAGTTGAATGGGAGAAGAGTGAGGCCATTCGCGGCTTCGTTGCCAAATCTCTCTTCGATGCATGGTCACAACCATGTGCGACAACCCCAACCCAATGGGCCAGGGTTGTTGGCAATGTGGCTGTCGTGGCGCTCCGCCCCAGGCTGGCGTTATCTCGATGCTTCCAATCAACCTTAGCTTCATGCATGAACCATCACGTATCACAAGGATCAACTTTAATTCTGCAGTCCAGCGTAGCGAGCTGAAGGTTAGCCGCATGGGTTGACCCCGCGCGTGAATGAGTATGGGCGTCACCCGCAATATGCTGGCAGTCCCATCCCCAAAGGCAATGACAAGTGTTCAATCGTCTGTCGTACAGCTCTACACTATCAGCATAGCTGCGCAGGATGTTATGTCAAATTTGCGTTGGGGCATTCCAACACCGGAAGGGTTGGGTTCGCGACGACGACGAGGGGTCCGAGCCCACCGTTCTACTTGCTCATCACGAATCGGTCGCCAGTCTTCAAGCATCAGCTCTCGACGCTTGCGAGATATGTCGTCCCTTCTGGCTCCAGATCAGCGAGGATGATCAAACTAGACTGAGAGAGTTCGATGCCGTGTGGGCTTCACGCCCGGGTGCTGGCGGTGCAAAGTTCAGAACACCTGGGCAAAAGTTGGATGAGTTTGACGGTTTAGTGACCATGGGCGTCGTAATACTTCTCGAAGAACCTAGTCTGAAAGCAATTGGATCCAACTTGATGGTCTCCATTTCATTTGAGTCGGGATTTACGGACGAAATTCACTTTGATCACAAGAACATCTCCGGCACATACGTGGTACAGAGAGGTGGTTGTGAGTACCTTTACCGTGTTAATAAGCCATCGCCTTTTTCTAACAGGATCGGGTACCAGACAAGGACGCTGGAAAGATGATACCGTTCTCTAGCAACAGCACGAACTCTGAGGAAGCGTGGTCTAAAGCAACTTCATGGATGCAAGCTTGCCTGTCTACTCACACGGCTTGCAACATTGAATTGAAAGCGGAGCCGTGGTATCCCACACGGCTGCTCGACCTTAATGCTGGTTGCGAAAGCATAGATATCGTCCGTCTGGTGATCACGGCTGAACATCCGCCTTCGCACAATAATCGGTACGCAACCTTGAGCCATTGCTGGGGTTCTGCTCAATTTCTGCAACTGAAAAAGGCCACGTGCGAGGATTTTCAAAGAGGCATCGAGCTCTCCAGACTACCCAAAACTTTCCGTGAAGCCATCAAAGTCACTCGACGATTGGGCCTGCGGTACATCTGGATCGACTCGCTATGCATATTCCAAGATCGAGACGATCTGTCTGACTGGCTTGTCGAAGCAGGTTTGATGCATAAAGTCTACTTGAATTCTTTCTGCAACATATCTGCAGCAGGGGCGTGCGACAGTTCCAAGGGCCTTTTCTTCGAGCGGGATCCGAGAGTGAGCCTGACTGCCGATATGTGCCTCAACGCGGAGGGATTTGGACTGGGAACGGAGTACATCGACTGCAGCATCGTCGACTTGTCATTCTGGGACCATGGTGTTGGCCAATGTCATCTCAACAAGCGCGGTTGGGTTCTTCAGGAGCGTCTGCTTTCCCCACGTGTGCTCCATTTCGGCTCCGATCAACTCTTCTGGGAGTGTAGAGAGCAAGCGGCGGCCGAGTGTTACCCAGAGAGGATGCCAGAAATATTGGAAAACGGCGTCCCGGTGAAGTTCAAGAGGCTCAGCAAAGTTGTTTACGGCCCCGATGCGATGTCGCAGGAGAGAGAGCCTGACGACCCCACCTTCTATTACCGAATTTGGGATCGAATCGCGAAAGCTTATGGTAGCACTCGTTTGACTGTGGCCTCTGACAAGTTGCTGGCTCTATCCGGGATAGCGCAACACTTCGAGACTCTCATTGACGATACCTATGTCGTTGGGATGTGGCGGAAGCATCTGGCTCGCAATCTGCTCTGGCACGTTGATAAAGAGACTCAGATTGACGGCTCCCCATCAGTCCGGCCCGAGGTGTATAGGGCCCCATCATTCTCTTGGGCCTCGGTCGACGGTAAAATCGCGATGGGCCCCCTAGACCAATCGAAACTACTCATTGATGTTGAAGATGTCCAGATTGAGCACGTATCAGAAAACATCTCGGGTTTAGTGAAAGGGGGCTATCTTGACCTTAGATGCTGCGTGCTGCCTTTCGAAATGGTCATGAAAACCATCGGCCAACATCAGTTTCTTTATCTGAAAGTCAACGGCGCTATCGTGATGGCTTCTAGCAAAGACGAAAGTAATGTTGGCCCTCTAATACACATGGATGTCGGCCAGAAATGCTTCGACCATGAGAACACCACAGGATCGCTGTATTACGTTGTTGCACAAGATCAGGAGAAGCTCGACGGCTTTGTCAGGTGTCTACTACTGATGGCAGTAGACGAGGAGAGGAAAACTTTCAAGAGGATTGGGCTTGCAGTGACCAATGAGGCAGAAGAGATAGAGATGCTGCAAAATGCGGCACGCTTCGCCGGTGAAACCCCGTCGACTTACAGCGATCTTTATGGAACTAGAATCATACGAATCATATGAATGCTAGAGCAAGCTAGATCCATTTCTGATGGGCAGATGAGAAGCGAACGCAAGGCATGAGCCGACACACGAGCCGAACTTTCACGAAACCAAACCACGGTCTTAGACAACTTCAAGCTGCAGGAAATCCATCATTATCAAGCAGCTTCATCGCCTTGTGCCGGGACCACATGCCAGGTATTCTCCGTGAAGATTAGTGAGCCATCTTGCTGTAGGGCGTACGGGTCCATGTAGATATCGAAGTCAATGTCCGAGGTAGTGAGGTTGAAGACGCGAATAAGCACATAGGCTGTGCAAGATCCTCTTGAGGACCTTGACGCATCTGTACACTCCTTCATCTCGGAAAGTAGAATGTTGGTCAGACAAGTTACGCAATACGCTTGTGATGAAAAGGTCCAGAGTCCTACCCTATTGTACTGATGCTTTCTCACGAAGAACGGCCTTGTAGCATCCCCGGGTGTTGTCTTGACTTCGATCAAGTATTGCGGCTTCTTGCTGATCCAACGAGTTCCTTCCAAATATCCCTTGTCGATAAGAATCCGGGTCAGAACTCCAGACTTGTCGTCGTAGACGGTGTCGGCAGTCTCTTTCCCTTCCCAGGGAGTCACGTAGGGATATTCGGGATGGGCTGCTACATGTTTTCGCATCGTGCTTCGCCAATCGCCCATGCCAAATACCGGAAGTGAGGGATTGAGATGCGAGAGCAGCTCATAAACTTGAACCCGATTAGCGAAGCGTCTTAAGAAGTCATCGAGACCGTTTCAATGGAAGTGATCATGTCCCATGTTCCCTGTACTCACAAAGAGCTCGCCAGCAGTCCCGATTTTCTCGTCACTTCCTGGAGGCAGCCGCGAATTTGAAGCATGGGTCGAGATACATTCTCCTGACTGCCTTAGTCTTGAAGACCTAAACTCGGGAAACGGTCTACTTCGCGCTGCGAAGATGACATTGTTGAGTATCCTCAAAATACTCTGCATTGAACGCGTTGTATATGGGCGGGGTCGTAGCAGCGGGGGCCGTCGGTGTTTGCCCAAAATGGAAGATCTGTGATACTGGGGGTGCGGCAGCTGTGCCGACAGCTGAATCCGGCTGCAAGGGATAACTTCTGTTGCTGTCAGGTGAAGTGGTAGTACTTGTCTGCTGCGTAAACGTAGGACGCGTAACAGGAGGTCCGGAAATAGAACGAGAACCTGTTAAAGGGAAAGGCCTTAGGGGCATCTCTACCGCAAACCCTTCGGGTTGAGGGGCTTCAGCAGGTGGCGGAGAAGCATCGACAACCCCTCTGAACTCCTGGTCTTGATCATCTTCGATAGCTCCCACGTCGATGATGCCTTCTGCTTCTAGGATCCGAGACACGCTTTGGATCGGTGCATTGAGAGCTGAGCTCATTGCACTGAAGGCTCGGTGCGGTATCCCACCGCAGATTTGTGTTTCCGGTTCTGTCATCACCCACTCTAGAAGTCGTCTTGGAAGACTCGAGTGATAACAGAAGTCCTGCCTTTCTGTGTTCAAGGGGATGTATATCCGCAATCGACCAGCCGTGTCTCGGATGTGAAACTCGCTTGATGACTTAACGTGGATGTGTACTTTCCCATCCTGGGCAAGGTGCACCTCAGATGAGATTCCATGCGTTTCATACACTTCGGTGGCACGGAGTGCGTGATACAGATCATGAGTGTTGTCCACACGGGGACTGTTGAAGTGAGATGCAACCCTAGTGTTGAGATCAGATTAGTAAGACTATTGGGAACTACCAGACCTTAATGGAGCACAGCTGGAATAGCCAGTACTTACCTGTAGATTCCACTTGCTCTTCTCCTGATACTCTATCCGGACGTTGCACTCTAATTTGGGAATCGCTTGCAACAGTTGAGATCTCCTTCACGGAAGAGGAGAGGTACCGAGAGTCTAAGCCCAACCACGAAAACAAGTTGCCGAACCTATGAAATTCATCTAGAGAAAAGTTCAGAACCCTTACTTTGGAAGCAAACATCTCGGCTAAGGGCTTACGGTCCCTGATGACGAATTCTGTGCGAGAAGTGTCGAGACTAACCTGCCCAGTTGGATGTTCGACGGGAAATATGGCACTGTCCGGCAATTGCTCTGGGTCAGGATACGATGTTGCACTGTGAAGGAGGGTGTTTACCAACCAGATAGTCTCTTTAATTTCGGCGACGGTAACTGTTGGCTGTTCATTTGCCTTGTTAAGAAGCTCATCGCACGCGATAGCAAGAGTGAGTCTTTGTACTCCGAGCGTTTCGACGAAGAAGTCTTCCAAATCTTCGTAGATAGAGCTGAGAGTCGTTCGTCCCTGTATCTTAGCCCCGCTTGACCATAGACACTCGGCTGTTGTACGCCATCCAGATGTTTTGCCATTTGGAACAAAGATGAGAGGCATCGTACTAAAATGGGCCCTGGGATCGAGCACGTCAGCTACAGCTTCGCTGTGAAGGGGCTCCAGAAATACCTGACGTCCTTCAATTGACCTTCCGCCATGTCGCCGTCCTTGAGAAAGCCGTAAACTTCAACAACCCGATCGAAAACATCGCAGTTGACGTCTTTCGTGTGCCTCAGCTCCTGTATGCAGCAGTTCTGGTCGCAATTTCCTATTCCTAAGGTCTTGCTCATAAACCTTCTCAAAGAATCCACCCGACCTGCAGAAAAACTTTCTATGACTTGCCCCTCAAGGGCAGAGTAAGCGTACGGAACACCTGGCGCTTGCCAGACACAAGCATCTGGCCTTTTCCAGAGCATTGGGCCGTTTTCAGCTGCAGCGATCCCAAGAGCAGCCCTCCTTCGGTCTCCCTGGTTATTGTAAATAGGAACTAAAATACAGTTTATCTGACGGCAGAAGTCTCTGTGTCTTCTCAGTTATTTGTTCCTTCGCAAACGCTTTGAATATGGGGTGTAAGTATCTTACTTTACAACTGTGGCAACTTGGTCTTTGGATGCCGATTACTCTAATCGAAGCTGTATCATCTCATAGAGACTTAAAGTCTTGCCGTAAACATCTTGTTGTGGCCGAACTTCAACGAGTCGTTGAAAAATTGAGAGGTAGAAATCCACGTCATCCCGAGCTCGTACGCCAAGGTCATCGACCAAGAAACCCCATTTCGATTGGTAGGAAGCAGATTGAGTAGCTTCGCCGAGTTAAATGAAGCTGATTGTTGAATATTCTCCAAGATATGAAGAACAAGTAGCCGTGAGCTCTGGCAGCGGCAAGGTTGTCTCTTCAAGTGGGTAGTCCTCGCCATCAAGGCAAGTGATGTCGAGGGTTCTAAGGCTGCGAAGGAACTCCGAGCTGCTAGGGTCGTCTTTATTCAGCAGTGTCCAGTGATGCTGAAGCGCACCAATAAAACATTCGGAACCATAAGTGCGAACCAAGTCGAGCTTGGGAGAAAGGCTTCCTGGAGATGTTGGAGAGGTCAATCTCAAACGACGGCGTACTCACAGGAAATGCTCAAGCCAACCAGACCAAGATTGTTCCGCGCCAATTGGTGTCTCTGGGGAGCAATCAAAGTAACGTCTGTGCAAAAATGGCACAATGACTTCCTCTATCAGGTTCGAGATCGGCTGTAAAAGCTGTTGCGGCTCATGGCAGAAGGTTGTTGGGATGTAAATGTCCTGGAGATGTGGTCGCTGAAGCTCCATCGTGTGATAGAAGACAAAGAGCTCTGAAAAAGGAGTCAGGGTTTCCTTGTAACATGATACTGTCTCTTGAGAGTCTCGCCGGGAGAGGACCCGTGCTCCGGTTGCCATACCCTTTCTATAAGGGTACTCGAATTCGAACCGGAGAAGGAGTACTCCACTCGCGTTGTCTCCTCGTCATCGTCGTCGTGAAACTGGATCTCGATGCGTCGCAGATTCCTCAGAAAAAACAGGACTGTGATTGGAAGGTTTGCAAACTCCCAGTCAATCTCCTCTCTCTGCCTCGTCGCTTTTAATAGAGAGGTGTCGTTGTTTTCATCGTACTGATGAAGATGAAGTGTGATGTAACTCGGGGCTTGTTCACCCTGCGGAACGAAGTCTGGTTCCCAAACAAGGTCACCATCCCAAGGCCACTATCACCCTTGGGGTGGGTGAAGCTGAAGGAAAGCTCCTTCGACAGGATATTGACTTTGTAAGCGGCCATAAAGACGTATTTGAAGCCGATGCCTTTTTCCCCAATGTATCCAGAATTGCGGTTCTTTGAGCTCTGACCGATCGCGCATATGGCTTTGAGATCGCGGTGTGTGAAGCCATCCTCGTTACACTCAATCCTGATTCGGTCTTGGTACACGCTGAACACTACATAAGGATCAACACCACGGTTCTTTACTGCAACAAATCTGTTATCGTCGGCGTTTTGGAGAAGTTCGAACAGGAAGCGGGCATGACTGGTGTGGAGGTTCCTTGCCAAGCTTGCGTCATAGTTAGCAGTCGCCGAAGCCATGATTGGAGAAGGCTGATTGACGAGCGGTAGGTTGGTGACTAGTAGGCCCTGGCTTCGTTGCCATATTGTACATGAGAGGTCGCTTTCACGAATGAAGTCGCAGGGTCTCAATCGTTGTTGTTGGAAAGAATGAAGGGTTTCCGCTTGTATCATTCTAAAGAAAGGTAATCTAGGCATGAAAAGTAAACGACGGATCGAGAGATGCTTGGTAAGTGAATCTTTCCCCCGCCAAGATTTCGTGCCGCGGACTCGATGCCACAAGTTCATCTGGACCAACCAGGATCAACACCAAAAAAACAATACTGACATAAACCCAGTAAATCGCATACGACCAAAGTGCGGCTGATTTATTTTTACCACTGCGGCAACGTGCTTATCGAAAGAGATCGAGTGATTCGGCAGACTTGCTCGATAATTGCCGAGTCGGGCCACAACATACGTCCACAGGCGCGGTCAAGACGGGTGTCCGGACTTGGCCCAAGTACAAGTCCACAATTGAGTAACATTTCACTCATCATATCACTATCGATGATAATCACTTTTGGACCGAACGTTGTGCTTTGAGCGTACTTCCATATTGATGAATTTCACGAACATCGATACTCGCCTAGAAGGAAAATGCATAAATACCGAGGATGACGAATGCAATTCGGTTCTTTTTATTTACTCGCTGTCACCGACTGCGAAGTATATACAGGATATATGAATACATGAAATAAAGTAGCTGCACTCCAGGGGAGTCCTGAAGATTCTGAAAGAGGAAGCCGTGCCGACCAAGGCCGGGCAGAGAGTAGGCCACCAAGAGTTGCCTCTAAAGCCGAAGACCCACTAGCTTTGCAGCAAGTTCCCAGTAGAGATGTGTCCTACAGCCTGAATAGACAGCACCATCGCTTAGCAGTCTGCCTTGGATCCAACATCGGACGAAGCGGAGCTGCCTCCAGCGACGGTGACGGACTTATCGCCAGAAGATCCGTTGGCGCTGCCGCGGATGGTGCCGCCGGGGATGACATCGGGGCCAGGGATGGTGTTGTAGGAGGTCGAGCTGCCCCAAAGACTGAAGTTCACGGCCGCGTCCGCTTGCTTGTAGACACCGGGAATCTTAACACCAGTACCAGGCATGGTGGTAGCAGTGTTTCCAATGACCTCGAGCTGGGCGCAGGCGTAGTAGAACTCAGCCTCGCCGTTGTGGGCGCCGTGAAGACCGATGTGCTCGCCACGGACGAGGTACTGGCCGTTGGGAATAGTCGAGGGAACCGTGAAGTGAACATTGTCCTCGCCGTAGCTGCACCAGGCGGCAGTGCGGAGAGACTCGGCGTTGCCGGCCTTGCAAAGCAGTGACTGAGAGACCTTGTACCAGGTGCCGGTGCCCTTGTCGGATGCGGCGTTGCCGACCGGACTCATGTAGACCTGAGTGGGGCCGGGGTGAAGCATACCGGTGCCACCAAAGGCCTGCTTAAGGCCAACCTTGTCGCCGGCCTTGACGGTGAAGACCTTTGCAGCTGGAGTGGAGCCCTTGTTGCATGAGAAGTCGGCGTCAGTCGGTGGGATGGAACCAGAGGGGACATTTTTGAATTTGGTGGGCATGTAGCTGTTTTGGTGCTTCCGGATGTAGGTGTTGTCACCACCCTGTTGAGCACCGTTGACGAGGAGCTTGTCGAAGGTGTAGTGAGCAGAGGCCGAGGAAACCAGGCCGAGGACGACAGAGAGAACGACAGTGGCCTTCATATTTGCGATTGGAGACACGTAGAAAAGAATGAAGTGACTTCAAGTCAGGTAAAGAGTGAATGATAATGAGCGAAGAAGAAGAACGATAGAACAAATCACAATGGTGCGTTGAGCTGAACTTAGAAGCCTGTATATGAGGCCAATGTCTGCCTTATATAAAGTCCAGTGGAAGCGTTTAATCTTAACACACATATACCAGTCAGTCACGTTTTGGTTCACGAACCTGAACCTAGACATGCTTGTGGAGCTTACTAAAGGGATGTGTGTGCCCATTCCGAGCCAAGAGTTCGGTCTAGATTACCAACAGAAAGCGACAAACGCCAGAGCTAGGATACAATCCCTGCTTTGGACAGAAACCCCAGTAAAATCCTCCGAACACGCTACTGTAAGCATAAACGACCTGCTCGGGATTGATTTTGTGGAGAAACGGAGGGAAGCCCCTGAATATGTGGTCTTCGACATGGGCTGGCTTTAAATGCATGCGTCCAACACTAGAGAATGTGACTTGTAATGGACGTGGCATTTCTCCAGTTACCTCATCAGTACACTCATACGAATGATTGAAGTAAGAAAGTCTCCAGAAGGATCTGTGACTTTCTTAGGGCAATATGACAGTCAACACCTTCACACCTAGGAATGTAGGATTATCAAGTTGTATTAGAAGGAGTTCCATCACGGATCCGATGCGACACTGGCGCTAGTAATTAGCTCTATGACTTTATGATTTAGAGATATAATAACTGAGGGTACATTTCTAGGAAACCCCACGTTAGCAGTGCAAAAAGGACTAAATTTAGGTGTAAGACGATAGCCAAGGCCCCGATACAGGTCCTGCAGGCACAGAGACGGTATGACTGAGTACTAGGCAAGGAGTACCAACGAGCCTGAGAGGACTCATGGAGCCCACTGCTCATCTGGGAAAGAGGCATAGGCGAGCTTCTTAGCGCCACCTCCCGAAATCGACGACCACCCATGTCTTGATGTTGTGCTTCTCATCCGTGCGGTTGAATGAGGGCTGTGTACCGTTTTGGGGTACTTATTTACAAGCGAATGATGGCCAGGCAGAGTCTAGTGCGTTCGAGTATTTACTCCTGTCATGCATACGGACTTCTCAGCCAGCTATTGAAGTCACTAGATGCATCGAGCCTAGGTTCGTGTTCTACAGGTTCTACACATTACAGGCAGACTAAGCTGGGAAAGTCTCATCTACGTTGTATGCTTCTAGCAAGTTTTGGTTAATAGATGCCTATACATAGTACATAGAACTATGTTTTGTAGGGAAATTTCCATTGCACTTGTAAATGACCACAAATCCATTCATTGTATGTTGTCATCAACCTCAGGTCTTGTCTTTGGGATTGCTGGGACTTATTTCGCAGGCCTTTGAGTGGGGAAAGGGGCTCGCATCGAACTCACGATATCACCTTGGATTCGTATCCCAGTTTACTAATGACTGTAGTCTGGTCCTTGATCTTTTTGAAACACTGGAGGCTCATATAACCCATAGCCGGCCGTATCCTTCATCAATGCTGGTAACAGCCAAGGCGCATTCGAACCTCTCGCGTCTCGGAACAGCCCGATATTCGGGAAACGGGAAACACAAACGGTCATCTGCCAAGAGAGGTTGTAATGATTTTCAAAGGCGTAAATGGCCGAGCGAGGAACTTCGCTCTAATCCAAATACGCTGATAGGTCCGCTTCTGTGCCATAGCCCCAGATATGAGAACTGATGGCATGGCCGAGAACTTCGTAGAAGAAAGACGGAGTCTGCGAGAGAGACACAAAAGGGTTAGCGCCGCTCTAGGGGTATTCAAAGCCGATAGAGTGTCCGAGAGACTCCAAGAGTTCGATGTCGTTGGGGACTTGGGGAGAGCCGTTAGAGTCGCGAACGGTTCGGACTACTCGTAAAGACTCGGAAATCCTTCGCGGTTATCCACAAAATTAGGAATCGGCATGGCCCGCTCTATAGATGAAACCAGAGGGCTTGACCCAATAACTGCCTAGCGCCGCTAGCAGTACGGATACCAGTTGTGATTTGACGAAAAAGCTTTTCCAATATACGTCCACTCTTTGAAGTTTCTGCCATTCAAAGCCACGCGAAATGTTACAGAGTATTAGTAAGACCAGGTCACCCAATATTTTCCTTCGGAACCCATTATTTTAGGATTCGTTGATGGAACCCTGCAGTTTCATTGAGAATGTAATTAATATCTAGCTTCGATCAGTGACATGAGGTCTTGTTCCTGCCTTGGCACAGATTCTTGAGGCGCTTGATTCCTTCAATGGTTCTGGTCAGCTTGGTGGTTGATTGAGTGGATAGTTGAGTCAATCTCCATACTTCAATTTGATCACTCCTTTCTAAAGAGGCCACTGTTGACGATTTTTCACCACGCAAGACAACTTTCTTTGTCTCAAACCCTTGGCAGCTGGTCGGCTTGTCTGGTATTTGTACTCGCCATAACCAGAGTTCAAAAGAACATTTCTAGCTTGATGAAAAGTCAGATGTAACGTGAAACCCTGGGGAAGTCTCTGCATTTAAGTCGCCGGCTTCTTCGTTGCGAGTGCAGACTCAAGGCATCTGTATCAATCTACTGACTACATTACACACGGTTTTCATTCACAAATAAAAGACTCCCAACTATCAACATCTGACCCTACAAACTTTGCCGTACGAGGCCATCGGCACAGCCTTTTGGTTCTTTCGCTTCCATCGGCAGGTGAGGTTCCCAACAGGGCTTCGGGATCTTTCGCAAGTTCGACCCACTCGACAAGGGCTTCGAGGGAGTTTTGCTTTCCAGGAACATGAGTATAACTCGAAGCACCTCCGCAGTGACCACCACCTGCAGTAAGTATTTTGTTAATCACGCGCTCACGGAGGGTAGGCCAATGACGGTTGGTTCGCTGGACTTACCTGGTACCATAAATAAAGACAACCATTCATCTCGAACGCCACCTGTCATCCGAGAGACCTCATTCAAATGATCAATAGGCCAGGTTGCAGCATTGAAAGGATCGGCCCATCCTTGCGTCACAAGAAGCTTTCCTCCCCTGTCCTTGAAGGAAGTCAGGTTGGGACTGGTGGAGTCAATCAAGCTTCCAACCTTGAGATCCAGCGCATACACATCGCTAGCCCAGTCGAAAGTACTGCCATTGTAGCTCAAGTCGTCGAAAACCATGTTTTGCAAGAGAGGAAGAGAAAATGAAAGAGACAAACGACCCTCCTGCATCATCCATTCCGACTCACTCCCCAGATCGAATCCGGGGTAGAGGCTGGCATTGCTCTGAGAATGACGCGGTCCCGCGTATATTTTCTTGGCAGCTACGATTTGTTCAGGCGTCAAGCAAGATGACGAGTTAGTTGCGGGTGTCGTGCAAGCGAGTTGATCCAAGTCAAAGGTGCATGCTAGTGGGTTCTCAAGAACTCGGTCCTCAACACCATCCAGCATGTCACACTTGTCTAGTACCGCATTTGCCATCAAGTCTAGTGATTCTTGTGGCAAGAATGAAGAAACCTTGAGAGGTGTCAGTCGATGATTACGAAATTCATCTCCTCAACTGGAGAGGAGGGTAACGCCCAGCTCCCTTAAGAGCATGAACTCAGGACAGTATGAACTTACCAGAGTCACCTGCTGGTTCCACAAGAAGGACAGGGCCAGATGTGAATACCAATTGCCTGGGCAGCCAGCGATGATGCCGTCGAATAGTTGAGGGTGGTACTGAGCAAGCGCAAAGCCTTGGGCCCCTCCGGTTGAACACCCCTTGTAGTATGCATGTTGTGGAGGCTGCTCATAGTAGACCGTTGCAATCTCTTTCGCCACAGGCGTGAAAAGAGCAATTGAGTTGCGGATCCATGCAAGGACTTGGTTCTGGTCGTGAAGGAACGGTAGGTAGATACCGCCTGGGTATGCATCGCCGTCATTATTCTCGGAAGCAAGATGACCACTATCCCCTCCTGAAGTCGCGAAGCCCTTGTTGACATTTTCTACCATTGAGGCATAGTCGATTCGACCAGCCAAGCCGCCATTGCCTAGTCACCCATTAACTCGGACTCCAGTAATACCGCATAATCTTGCAACTCACCGACAGCTAGGAACCTCTCATTGTATGCGCTAGTCTCCGGGAGCCAGACCTCAAAAAAGACAGTGTTATTTTCCGGGTATGGAACACTGCCGTTGACACGACAGAATGCAACTTGGTTGAAGGTTCCAGATACGTTGAGTGAATTCGCCGGTACGGAACTTGTTGTGATGACCCCGATGTTACTAGTGGAAGATGTGATTAAACCCGGCAATGAGTCGCATTGTGTGGTGAAATTCGACTTCGCCACGCTCGTAGTGGGCAGAAGCCAGAACGCCAAAGTCATTGCGGATAGCATAATGCCGACTATGAAGTTCCTGCACAGTCGTTCTCTACGAACAGTTGGCAAGTACCCCTTTGAAAGACTCTTCGTCTCTTTTAAAGACGAACCCGCGGGCCAGGGCGGCGGCGGCACTCTGCCATCGTCATTGTGTGTGGAGCTGCCAGGCTCATTTGCCGGCATCTTCATTCGCTGATGGGGATATGGATCCTTCTCTTCATTGAAGAAAGAATTTCCTCAACCAAGTATTTGGGACCCCTTTCGGCCTCGGCGCCGAAGTTGGCAAGAGATTTTGGACAAAAAGAACCGGGACTGTAATGAAATTCTGCAGCAAAAGACGTTGATTGTCCAGTAAGATTAGCTGAAGCATACCCCACGGGGAAGAAATGTTAGGGTTGCAATGAGGGGAAGATCTGGGAGTGTTCGGCCAACGGCGCCGAAGTCCGCGAGCTCAGAACCCAATCTGGTGAGACTCGAGGGCAATTTAAGGCGATCCGCGATCTTGTCGCTTGCACATGACAGATGAATGATGAGTGCGGAGACATGTTCCCCCGCATTTCCTGTCATTATCGTCGGTTGTGCAAGTAGGCACGCTGCCCTCAGACCTCTCGTGTTGTAGAGGTGGCTATGTCAGACGGCGCTGTGCGACACCTAAGATCCGTCGGTGCAGCATACTCGTTGCCTTGGAAACTCATTGGATCAATTTGTGACCACTCAGCTTAGTTTTCAAAATTTGTTGAACTGCGGACTGGATTGAAGGCTTTATTGAAAGAAAACAAGGAACTCAGGCAAGACTTTCGTTCTCAGCAAGCTGGGACGATTGGCTAGGGAAGATAGCGTGAGCATCTAATACATCCCTAGTTCCTCTAGCTAAACCCAGTATAGCCACTAGCGGTTGAATAGCATCAGTGGTCAAATTTTCTTTAAACAACGCGACAACCCGACTCTCTCAACGCAACACATTGAGCAATACATTGGCCTTCCCCATTCCCGGAAGCATTCAGGAGTACTGAACTAGGAGAACATAACGCAAACAGGGAAGAACTGGAAGAATCAAGAACTATCATCGGCCATGGCCTCGAAGTTGGAACCTAGGTCGGCGCGTTCCACGTACCTTCTGAAGATCTTGGAAGCTAAATACATGCAAGTTGTCGCAACGTGTAAGTTCCCAATCTTTCTTGCATCGAAGCTGCATCCTCAGTCTACAAGGGGTAGATGAACTTGAGGTTCTGACGATCCGTCAGATCGAGATCTTCATTGTGGACTTCGATGACTTCGTCGCCCGTGTCCAGAACCTCGTGCTTTTCTCGGTTTTCGTCACTCTCCAAGATCAGCTGACGCTTTCGATTCTCACGGACCAGGTACCATCGGATGATGAGGCACATCGCCGGAGAAATGAACCAGAAGGCGGTCATGAAAGCCCAAGGAAGTCGGTAACGGGGCTTGTACTTGGGTTGCCAAAATCTAAGCCAGCACATCAGTCATTGGCGCATGCATAGGCGGCCGCGCAGAGACCTTACTCGGGAGAGATCATGTTTGCGACAGCTGCAGCAACTACACATGTGGACATCACTGTGAGTTTCTTGGTGTAGCCGGTTGTTGCTGTCCCAGCCCAAGATAGGCCGAGAAGATAAGAGGGCTTGAACGTAGAAATTTGTGTGCCAACCACGAGGGCAATCTTGTCGGACCAAGGTGATGCCAACTAGGTAAACAATATCAGAACTGCTCCAAATTCGCCACACGGAACGCTCACTTCAATAATACCACCGACAAAGCATGGTATGTAGGAAATTGCACATGTATAGCCAGTGCCCAGTCGAGTTCCATACAGCATAGCCGCTGAAACAAGAATAAGCAGTGATCCGATGAGGGGCTTGGCAATATTGAACAAAGCGCTCTCTGCGGCTGTAAAGCCAAACCCGACAATTATTAGCGGTAGTTGTTGTGATGTGTTGTTAGGAAGTTCGTTGAAGAACATATGGAAGCTGTTGCAACGTTAGACGAGTTGGGCACAGGGTGGCGGGGCAAGTTGCGTTCGGGGGAGACATACATGAACAGCCAACTTTTGAGGTCCGTAAAAGCCTCACGGACGTGCGACCACTTCCAGGAAGAGTTCTTGATTCCGGAATGGGCATTGCGGATTGCTGAGATGGTATGAACTTTTTCCTCTGTTGATAACCACTTCGCTTCCACCGGAGAGTTGGGCAAGAAGAACGCCAGAGGCACACAGACGATGAACGTGAGAATGACGCAGATGATGTGCAACCATTTCCATGATGAAAGGCCACCAACAAGAGCTTGACTATCATCTAGGAGAATGAGCTTGTAGGCGACCATGGTAAGCAAAACGTTGGCCAGGCTTCCTGAAGCCCACCATAGAAGTTGTACCCAGGGGCTTTTCTTGGGAGGGAAAAATGCTTGGTGAAGGATCGTGGTACTCGGAACGATCTGGGACTCGGTCTGAAGTTTGTTGTGAAGGTCAGAAAAAGAAATCATGCGATACCATCAAACATAGAAAAGCCAACATACCATGCCAAGGATAAACCGGAGAGCCATCAGCTGCCCTCCTGTCTTCGCAAGTGGGTGCATGCCGAGCAAGAAAGCCCAGAGTAACAGGGAGCCGACGATAAATTGCTTTTGACCTGTGCGCTGGGACAACCAGGCACCGGGCCAGAGAGCAATGAGATAGCCGGTGTAGAAAACTACAAAGAGATCATTGTACTGCTTTTTCGTCATCTCGACATCCTTAAAGATGCCCATAGTACTAGCTTGCGACAAAGTTGACTTATCCAGATGGATGAGGAAGGCAATCCACCATGTCTGTCCTAGGAGGAACCAAAAGTTCTTTTGCACAAGTCTCTTCTCAGACCCTGGTGCTAGAGGCCCAGCTTTGTCTTTGTTGAGATTATAGAAAACCGTTGTATCGTCGACTTCGCCTTTGGTGACGGCATGTTGGTGTCCTGCCTGTGTTCCTGGAGACCTCACTTCTCCCTGAATGATTGGCATGTGCCTGGTTTTTGAGCAAGAGTAAGAATCACCCTCAAAGATCCCTTTCTCGTGATCTGTTGCGCTTGACATCTTGAGGGCTTCGATATGGTATCCACAAGTCAAAGAATGTTTGGGATAGAGTGGTCTAGGGAGAGTCAAACTCGATTTCCATGATTTTGGAGAAATAACTGAATTCTAGACGGTTTAAATAACATCGTGACAGTCTTAAATCTTACCAGTCTACCGATTCTTACTTGTTCCTGGCCACCTTTGCGGTTCATTGTCTGCAGATACGATGATCTGCAGACAATGAACCGCAAAGGTGGCCAGGAACAAGGATTGGAATCATCTTCGACCGGCTGGAAGGCACTCGGTGAAATCCGAGTGAGGTTCTTCTCATAGCCAGTCAAGTGAAAAAACAACCAGCAAATGAAATCAATTTCCGTGAGCAGCTATGGTGATGCATGGGAAGGGGGCATGGGGGTGAAAGCGAGGACATCAAGGTCGCTCATTGCCCCTGCGGCCCGCGCAGATCTCCATGCAACCAACAAAACCCGTCCATGGGAAGACGTAAGCTATTATTCCTTTAGGTCATAATTCCGATCTGAGACTCTGGCCTCTCGGACAACAAGCCTTCTTGGCGACCGGCCCGAAGTATTGTCGTCTTTGGTAGATTGAAACTATGAGTTTCGTGTTGACGGGGGTGTCACACCGTGCTCAGAAAGGGTCAAGGGATGAGGCTTATTCCTCGCTTCGTGGAGCATATTCTAAATGACTCAGAGTTTGTATGAATATGACATGCGACCTGAAGACCGAAGAGTCCGAGGATGTATGTTGACCGTGATCAAATTGGGAGGTGGACTTGTGAGAATGAGTACAATGTCATTGATTCGTATGCCGTTCAAGTGACTAAGCCTCCTTTGATCCTCCAATGTTTCTCTGTCCTTCAGGCCCCTCCTCTAGGCCGTTGCCCCTGTGAATTTTGTCTCTCCAGCGCCAGTGCTGCCTCATGAATGAGGAACTTTGGTCCCCGTGTATCAAAATGTCGGCTGCGTGCTGTAGATAATGTCAGTCAGTCTACTTTATGCCAAGAATAATCGAAGCTTTTGCTACCCACCTGGCCAAGAACGGGAAGAAACTTGGCCCCGTGCCCGCTGCCTCCGGTTGCAACGAAGACAGATCCTCCAGAATAAGTAGGAACATGGTCAATCTACAGAGGTCAGCAAGGGAACAAGTTTTGATCCAGTGTAGAGCTGACTTACGACAAATGAATTGTCCAGTGAGTCGGTATACCAGCATAGCTTAGTCGAATTGAAGTCCTTATCGGCGAACTCCGGAAGGAAGATGGAGACGAACTTTCGGATGGCCTCTCTTGCAGGGTCCGGGACTATGCCACAGTCAGAAGGCGGGAGAGGCACACTCCATTGGCCATCCTGAGTGAAGCCTGCCTCCGAGGGCGCGTATTGGAAGTTGGTGAACTAGGGGGTCTCATTTTAGCCTTATTCGCGCGAAATAGGCGACGGACAAGTACCTTGATGCCTCGGAATCCGATCTTGATGAGACCGTCAGCAGTCCGAGGAAAGACATAAACACTGCCCGTGTCTTTGCCGCTCGGGTTGCGTGGGGCACTCCTCCAGGTAATGACTGGGAAACGTTCAGGGGAGTACTTGTTCCACAGATTCGCGTCGTTCTTGTCCACCTTGAAGGTGACTACGCTTCCTGCAGACGACTCGAGGTGGTAAGATAAATCAGGTAATAGCTGCGTTGAGAAGGATCCAGCTTTTGATGATTAGTCGCGCAACCTCGGAGATGATTGCAGAAAAGAGTGTGCATACCGGCAATAGCCACGACGTCCGCTTTGTGAACGATTCCGTCTTTGGTTCTGATCCCGACTGCCTTCTTCAGGTGTGATAGCGACTGATTTTCTTCAACAATACTGTCAAAGGCACCCTTCTCGGGACCAAAGTGAAACTCAACGCCCTGTCGGAAGGCCAACTTGTAAAAATAAGCGCAGGCTTCACTGCATTTTGTGAACCCGGCAGTTGAGTCCAAAACGGCTTCGTAAGTCTGAGCAGGTGATGCTTGCGGGATTTCGAAATCCAGAAGCTTTCCCTCCCATCCACGCTCAGCCGCTCGACCTCGATCAGTCTGATCGCTTTTGACGAATTGAGTATCTCTGAGGCCGTCTCGTTCAAAGTTGCTCAGTGTCTCACGCTCAAGTGGATCGAGCTCAGCGGTGGGCTGAACTCGGAGCATGCCGCACCCGCTGAAAAGATCTGATCGATCGAACTCATCACCCTCTTGATGTCTCTTCTCGTTGATCTCCTCCCATGCAGCGCGACTTTCGAACGCGAGACGTTGGTAATGAAGCTTACTCCCATAAGAAGCTCGGAACTAGAGATGACGATTTGAGTACAACTTGACTCGTGCTCTCGATCACAGTTTCAGTAAACTTACGATCTTGTTGTGATCTACCGACGCAGCCTGCGTATTTCCATTCAAGTCGGGCTCGTAGTGCGTCTCGTCATAACGGTATCTGTCGAAGACAACCACGCGGTGCTCTGGGAGATAAGTATTAGGTCGAGTCCCATATCTAGGCATGGCAGTAAATTGCGCTTACCACGTTTGCTTAGAGCAACAGCTAGAGAGAGACCGAAAATGCCAGCTGACGGAAATCAATCATTTGTTTTGCGAGATGTGATTGCGACCACTGCACGTACCGCCCACGATAGCGACCGATCTTGGTTCGGACATAATGCTTTACTTCTCACTTATTTGCTTTTCTTGTCAACTCGGATAATGTGAAAAGCCGCGATGCTGTGGGAGGCGGGGAGTAATACGCTTTAATGCTTCCGAGATCGCTGATCCATGCCTATCAAGGTGCGGAAATAGTCGGTTGGAGCTGGCACGCCATCAAGAATCGGATGACTTGCCGCATAATGTAGTAGTAGCTCCACAACTCTCCCGCGGCCAAGACAACAGTTAAGAAGATGCAATGATAGCAGAGGATACTGATGCTTCAGCAAGTTTGACTTGATTAAGATATCCGAAGAGTCCGATCAGTGATTTTCTACGCATGAGAGCAGGCCAAGTCTCATTGCAATTTTACTGGACGTTGACAAACATAAAGCTATCTAGGTACTTTCGCACGAAGGTATTTGTGTACTTCTCAATTGCCGACACCCAATCTCAACATTATTAGTTCTTCTTTGGGCGCAAACCAGATGCAAGGTCCAGAAGTAAGTCTCATTTTCCTTCTTTGATCCATCTACCCATCCACCTAGCGTTGAGTTCCTTTGCTTCATTGATCAATCCCAACTCCAGTAGTAGCTGCACCGAACCTCTCACGGCGGAGTGCAGCGACGAGCTGATCCATGCATGTGTCGGGGCTGTGTGCTCGCCAATGAAAATGGTGTTGTGCTCCGTTCGGTGATATGACGGAATGTACAGCTTGTGCTGCTGAATGTCTGGACGACACCAGGAGGTAGCCGTGTGCTCGTCTTCGAGCCAGCAGAGGCGTGCGTAATCCCCGGTGTACAGATCACGAGCCTCTTCACCGTGGAGGCTGGCAATAGAATCCAATACCAAGCCCACGTGCTCTTCTTCAGTGAAGCTAAGAAATCTGTCGCTCCAGTCTCCTCCTCGGTAATGTGTGATGAGGCCGGGACGAGACTCATTCAAGCCGTAGACAGGGTAATACAAGGCTCCCACGGCCTTGTCTTCAGGCCTGGAATAACCGCCAAAGATAGGTCGCTCACCTTTCTCCCAGAACCGCTCAGAGAATAAGAGCGAAACCTTGCAAGCCGACTTGAATCGCAGGCCGGCTTCACTGATAGCCCGATCGAGGACGGAGGAGAATTGAGGTAGATCCATGAAACGAGTCATGGTGAAAGGGACGGCCATTATGGTATAGTCGTACTCTTTGGACTCGAGTGTCCTATTCTTCGTATTGGGATACCAAGACAGACGAGTGAGCGTGCGACCATCAAGTCCCTCAAATGACTCCAGCTTTCGGATCTTTCTGTTGAGAGTGAGGCGGCTGGAGACATGCGGAATAAAGGCATCCGAGATACGGTTGAAACCTTTATCAACGCACTTCCACTCGGTCTCTCCGAGAGAGTCTGGTGACCCATCGAGCCCAAGGTTGGAGTTGTGAACCATCTCATCCCAGAACACATCATAGTCGGTCGCAGTCCAAATAGCATCGGTGACATTCTCGCCAGCCTGGAATCGATTGCGCATTAAGGACTGCTCGCTCCAGTCGTCGTAACCCTCATCCATAACTCGCTTATGCACAGTCCAGACATCCGCTTGAATCTCTCTCAAGAGAGTCTCGTTCTTGAGGATTTTGTTCATCTGTTTCTTGGTGGTGTTGTACTCAGCTGACATCATGATAGGAGGTGCACCCAAGCTGGAGTTTGCTGCAATTTCCGCGCGGGTTGGGACTCTGCCATCTGGGTGCCTCTTAGTCCCGAGAGCAATAAGCTCATTTGGATGATGCTGGATCCAGGGAATGAAATTGATCATCAGATCAGGGTCGTAGTTGTTGATTTCATTGAGCAGCGCGGCCAATTGAAAAGTCATCTGGTGATCCGTATACTCGTGCGTGGAGTTGTCGCTCTTGTATGTGACCTTGTATGGCAGCCTCATTGGGCCCATCTCTGCGAATTCCTCTGTGTCGCCAACGAAGATGGTTCTGAATCTGCCTCCTACGCGTTCGCTGGCCTCGATGAGTTCCCAGTTATGAACACCGACACTGTCCAGCATCAGACCTGTGGCGAGACCAGAGATGCCCGCTCCAACGATGGCAATGGAGACATTGGTGTTCTTAACTGAGGCCGAGCTTCCGTCAAGAGTGGCAACTTGCTCGTACCAGGCGCCATTCGAGTCGAATTCATGGAATAGTGGTTGGTTAATGGGAGCTCTCATTTGCTCATGGTATTGGGGCGCGGCTCGACTCAAGGCAGGATTGCCGAGAGTCAATAACAGGTAGGTTGCAAGTCGGATTGACATTGTGAACGCTGAAGCCTCTGTATCAAAGAGTTAGGCCTAGATGGAGAAGGTATGTCCGCTGAAGAAAAGATTCAACTTGCTCCGGTCGCAATAGGATTCATCATGCCTGGAGTACCAGCCTATTTACAACCGAGAATGCGATTGACCATCGCGCTTCTTGGGTGAGCTCGAAATCATCCCTGAAGCAGCGATCACCTTGATAGTTATTGCTGCAGCGTACTTAATATTCACTACTCGTTTTTAACATGGATATTGCGAGTCTACCCACTTCACTTGACTGATCCGCAGCACACAGAGTCGACCATATCTGTGTATCCCGGATGCTTCTGGCAGCGACCACCTTAGTGGGCAATGGGCGAAAGTTGTGATAGCACTACATACTTGCAGGTAACGTGCCCACCACCCCTTGCAGCATGATACAAATTGCTCATAGAAATTTGCAACACTGCTTGAAGTTAGATGCAGCGGGGCGAGACTTGCATGGTTGCAATATTTCCTAAGCTAATGCAAGCTGCCCTTGTACCAACTTCCATGTCTTCATCGCTGATCTTCCTCTATCCTATGAGTATTGAGTGTTAAGTCAAATTACTAGTGAGTATCTATCAAGGTATCGCCTGAACTTGACCATCAAGGTTTCAGAAGAAGGTGACCGGTCTCTTGGGAACGTAATGGCAACCCGAAAGGCTTCGTTCAACTTCGAAATGCCGTCGGCGGTCACGGACCGGTCCACAACTTTGTAGCGCTTTTTTTCCCCGCTTGCATCAACATACCCGCTGCTAAGAAGTTCTGACACCAAGTTCGGTGAATATTGCATCAGAAGCCGCGAACCACGTAAATGTCTTCTCCTTTCGTACTTTATTTAGGTGAGAGTATAAACCTGTGAGGCTGTCCGCAATTAGGAAGTCCCATGTGATATATACTGGCGAGTAGGCCGCTTGATTTCCCCGAGCCGAGGATTCGACGGTTAACTTTTCGCACATCATGTGGGCAGCTTACATATTTGCGGGCGTGGTTCTGCAGCTGCGATCTGCTCATGCACACTCGGCGTTCACAACTGGTATCACCGTTCAACTAGACTCTATCAATTATTTTATCCTCCCAGAAATCACTGCGAAAATCGACAATTATTCCCGAAATATTCCAGATGGAACTGGCCCAGTTCCCGTCACGGTCGTCAACCTCAATTCAACGAAACCAACGCATGAAAGTGTTGAAAACGTACTCGAGAGCTTTGCAAAAACAGATGATGTGTTCCAAGTCGGCTTTCGTCAAGGTAAGTGGGTACTGAAATGATCAACATTTTCAGCACCTTGTCTTATTCTTTCAGCTGGCCTACAACTGTGACTGACTCTCACTTATGGGTAAAGTGGTGTTCGTCCAGCACAACAAAGAGAGCAGTGAGCCAGGTCACAGCGTTTCACAGCTAGGCAATTCTACTTTTATATGGAGTCATTCGCATTTCATGAATAGTTCAGTTGTCCCTGATGGCCCTTACTTCCTTACCACAGGTGGCTTCCTTCACCAAGCATATCGGTTGTATCCGGACGTACAGGGAGCTTTCAGTGAGACTATCATCCCCAGCACAGACGGATCCTTCTCAGTGTTGCCGGCAAACGTTCCCGGGCAGTCGCTGGCGGTGGCCGTTCCATCCCGTTTATACTACCGACCGACTATCGAAAAGCCGTTGGCAGGCGTACGCGTTGGTGTCAAAGATATTTTTGACGTTCGAGGGGTAAAGACTTCCAATGGGAATAGGGCGTGGTACCACCTTTATCCTCCAGCGAACCGCACGGCAAATGCGGTGCAGAACCTGATCGATGCAGGCGCTGTCTTGGTGGGCAAGATGAAGACAAGTCAGTTTGCCAATGGCGAGAGTGCAACCGCAGACTGGGTGGACTATCATGCCCCGTTCAATCCTCGAGCCGATGGCTGTCAGGATCCATCATCGTCTTCTGCCGGCCCAGCAGCTGGAATAGGTGTGTAAAATGGGCTGTATCTTGAGTGCTCGTATGTCATCTACTAACATGGAAATTGGTATCAAGCTGCTTACGAATGGATTGATATTGCACTTGGCTCAGACACAGGTGGTAGCATAAGATCGCCGAGTCAAGTTCAGGGCATATTTGGCAACAGACCAAGTAAGTTTTGCCAAACGACACAATGAGAATGCAAATGCTACGGTGCTGACTCCGTTTAATTTAGGTCACGGCCTTGTCTCCTTGGATGCTGCTATGCCGCTCGCTCCAGAGTTCGACACGGCGGGGCTTTTTGCGCGAGACCCCGGCCTCTGGACCAAAGCGGCGCAGGCACTGTATCGCTCTGGGATGAATCTGTCGACTTGCTACCCGCAAAAAGTTCTCACTGTTGGATTTGATGTTGACGGTAACGATCAACTCAAGGTCACTCTGGGAAATTTCCTGTCGCGATTCACTTCGTTTCTTTCCGCAACTGGTATGCCGTTTAATCTTACCGAATCGTGGGCTGCGGCGAACCCGGACACTCCAGATCTTCTCTCTTTCATCAACAACACGTACGAAATTCTCTCTGCTAAAGAACAGGCGCGACTTGTCAGAGACCCATTCTTTGCTGATTACGCCGCCGTTAATGACGGACGATTACCTCACGTAAACCCTGCGCCAAGACAACGCTGGGCGTTAGGCGACGCTTCCTCCTCTACCATCGAGGATGATATCAAGAACAAAACTCGTTTCATGGATTGGTTCAATTCCGAAGTCATGTATCGCGACTCTGTGTCTTGCTCTGACAGTCTGTTTTTGTATGTCCCCCGAACGCCGAAAGATACATCTCGAGATACCTACACTACCGGGCCACAGACACCGCGAGGATTTTCTACAAGCCGCATCTCAGTGATGAGTGGGGTTCCTGACATTGTTGTACCGGTCGGACAGATAGCATATCAATCATTCGTCACGAATCATACAGAATACTTGCCTGTCACGGTCGACCTCATGGCTGCAAAAGGTTGTGATGGAATGCTTTTCTCGCTGGTGGAAGATTTAGTCATGGCTGGTATTGTCAACATTAGCCAGGTGGGCAGGAGCAGCGTTGACGGAGGAAGTAATTTGTACTGATCAGAGCTAAATTTCGAGTCGTCGGCCTAGACAGAGATGGGCCACCAAGAACCAATAATCGCCAAAGACGAAGTACCTAAGAAGTTAACCTACAATACTTGGAATACGAAAACCCGCAAGGGGGAGTTCCAGCAGTTCGACGACGGACCTAGCGAAATTCAAAAATTGGGACACTATGGTTATGAAGTAAACCATGCGGAGTTTGAGAAGGTCCGCCAATGGTACTTCGATACTCTCACACTCACAGCGACCGATTCTCTCTTCAATCCACAAACTGGGAAAAATATCATGACGTTCATGCACCTCGATAAAGGTGAACAGTACGTTGATCATCACGTAAGTTCCGCCTGGCGGCTACAACCCTCAGATAATGTTGTTAACCATCTGTTCTCAGAACCTTTTCGTTTCTGCTGGGGATATCACGGGCTGCACCGCAAACCATTGCAGCTTCGAGGTCGATGACTTTGACAGCGAGTTGAAGGGTCATAATTTCTTGGCCAAAAGAGGATGGTCACTCGTTTGGGGCATAGGCAGGCATCTGCTTGGAAGCCAAATTTTTGACTGTTGGTTTGATCCTGATGAATTTGTGATGGAGCATTATGTTGTTGTTGTTGTTGTATTTAACGCCGTGGCGGCCGGGCTAGAGCCCTTACCGCAGACCTCCCGAAGGGTATATGGCGTGGAGGGCCGTGAGCCAAGGCTACCTACTCTACAGTACGTCGTCTCTTTACATCGTCCTCCAAATCATGCCTTGTGGCCACTACGCGTTCTGTCTGTCCCCGGTTCCCGCTGGTGCCCCAGTTTCATTCTTTCCCAAATCGTCCCTTGGAATCGGGAGGTTCTTTGTAGTCCGCACTCACATCTACGTAGGTGTGGATGCTGCTACCGCAGACAGATCTTCTGGAAGAAGTCCGTCACGCGGAGAAAGGCCTCGAAGCCTCGTGGGTCGGTGATTAATCTCTTGAAGTAGGCCTCGAGAGATCCCATAGGGCCTATGGGCTCGGGCATACTGCGAGAGTGGAGGGTCGGCCACCGTTGCCTCCTCGCCAGCGTTAGTCGACAGTAGACCAGGTGGTCCACGTCTTTCGCCTCTCCACAAGAGCACATCATTAGAGCGTCGTCGTGGTTGAAACGTCGGTGATATTGCTCGAAGTCCCCGTGACCCGATCGTGCCGCCAGCAGGTGATGTAACGTAGCCCGCGGCAAGGCCAGTTCAGGAGGGCTGGACAGAGCTGCCTCAAGCCCCAAGTCCGCGTACCGCGGCCTTCGCTCTTTATACCACCATCTCCTGTGCTGGCTTTGTAATTTTTCCCTTGCAAGCCGCTTGATGCCCGCTAGTGTTGCCATTTGACCCATCCGCGCCGGCAGTGTCGTTCCTTCTTTGGCCAGCCGGTCCGCGGCCTCGTTTCCTTCGATGCCCTGGTGTCCCGGGGACCAGTGCGTCCGTATATCAAATATCCTGGCCGCTTCTTGGATTTCGAGGAACGCGTCTTGTGACGAGTCCGGCGCCTTGCCGCGGATGCCTTGTATAACGCTGGTGTTGTCGATACATATGTGGATTGGATGACCGCGATTGGTGAGCAGAGCCCTTCTGAGGCCGGTTCGCGCCCCTTCGACCTCGGCGTCGAACACTTCTGCTAGTCCGAGTCGGCCGCACCCTTGTGCTATGCGTTTGGAGTCTCGGTAGATGACGAAGCCGTACCCCACGGCTCCGTTCGTCGCCCTGGAGCCGTCCGAGAAGACGATCATATGGCTTTCCGGTACTGTCTTTAGCCAGCGCTCGAAAGCTTTCGCAGCCTCTTCTTTGCATTGAACTACTATCTGATCCTGTGAGCTTGGCAGGTACTGTGATTGAAGGAACGCTGGTCTTCCGCATCTTGGCAGAAGTTCAGCCGTCCGTTGTAGTCTCGTCTGTTGCTGTCCCTGCTGGGAGAGCCGCGCGACTAGCGGGTGTCGGCGATCAATCCTCTGTAGTCGGACTGCGGCCCGTAAGCGGACGCCCTCTAAGGCGACTTTGGCTGACGGTAAGCCGGCGTCTCGGAGGAGGCTACTGGTTGGCGTTGTCCTCCAGACAGGCAGAACGGCCCTTGCTGCCGCTGTAATGACGCTGTCGATCTTCTGCACGAGCCCCTTTTGGCCTGTGTTGACGGGTCTTCCTTGGAGAGGCGGATTCGTGTCTGTCTCCGCTTGGCGTCTCGAAGCCGGCTTCGTGATACCTGCGTACCATGTTTCGGCGCCGAAGAGCGCGATCGGCAGTACGCAGGAGACGACGGCTTTTCGCACGGCGGCCGCTGGGAGTCCCCTCTTTGTGTTCGTAAGCTGTCTCAGATGTTGAGCTGCCCTCTTTGCTGCAGCTACTTTTGCGTCGACATGGTGCCGGAAGGACAGTCTCTTGTCGAACCAGACACCCAGCCAGCGTACAGGTTTCGTCGAGGCCTTGACCACCAAATCCCCCGCCCGGACCTCTGGCAGCTCCGCTGGCTGGCCGTGCTTCCTAGTAAAGTGGATGACCTCGCACTTGCTCGGGTCAAAGGAGACCTTGTTCTCCAAGCCCCATCTGAGAATGCCGGCTGCGCTTCGGTTGAGTATTGCGACGTTGCTCTCCAGGGAGGGGCTGATGGCCAGAGTGGCGATGTCGTCCGCGTACCCGAATCGCGCGTTCGGGTCGTCTTCAAGTATCTCTGCGATGTAGAGCAGAAAGGCAATGGGAGATAGTGGTGACCCCTGAGGCAGCCCGCATGACAGCGGGAAGTACTCCGTTGTGCTTTCTTCCAGTCGGACTCTAGCGGTGCGGTTGCAGCAGAAGCTAAAGATCAGTCTGGTCAGGCCATGTGGCCATCCCTGCTGACGCAGTCTAATGACGAGCCGGTTCCGAAGGACGGAGTCGAACGCCCCTTTTACGTCCATAGTCAGAAGTGTCGCCGTGAGTCCTTTTAGGAGGGCCATCTCGATGTCGTGGGTGAGGCAGGTCGTCAGATCGACGGCTGACCTGCCTTGTAGAGCCCCGATCTGTTGCGGACTGATGATGCGCTCGACAATCGCCAGGGACGCCATCCTTCTGGCTATCAGTCGCTCTAGTCCCTTGCCCAGGCACGAGAGGAGCGCGATCGGCCGCCAGGACCCGGGCTTGGAGGCATCCCTGCCGGCCTTCTGGATCATGACCACCTCAGCTCTGCGGAAGGGCAGAGGAAAGTGGCCGGCCCGCATACAGGACTGGAATAGCTGCCTGACCGGTTCCGAGATGACATCCCAGCATGCCTGGAGGAGGCGTGTTGTGATGCCGTCCACACCAGGGGTCGTTGTCTTTGTTAAGGTGGCCGTCTTCACTTCTTCTCCGCTAACATTGTCCTGCCAAGTAATCGCTCGCCTCGGGACGACGGGTACGTCAAACGGGTCACCCGGTGCGTCATCTTCCGCACTAAACCTGTCGAGAAGGGCTCCCCGAAGCGCTTGAGCCTTTTCGTTAGTATCCTCGATCGTCTGGTTGTCCACAACCAATGGGGGTGCTCTGGTCAGTAGGCTCGCCTTCCGCCAACCCATGATCTGGTACAGGTCCCGGTCTGAAGCGACTCCATCGATCTTTCCGGCCCAGTATGCTCGCTTAGCCTTCCTCACCGTGCTCAGGAACGCCTTTCGTTTCTCCATTAGATAAAGGTGCGCATCTTGCTCCGTCTCCCAGGCTTGTTGGTTGCGGGCAGCACGGTATGCTCTGTGGGCCTCTGCGCATTCCTCCGTCCACCAAGCCGCGCCTTTACCATGTTTTCCTCTCTTCTTGCCGACCGCCTCAATGGCTCGGGAGAAGAGCTCGACGATGTGACTTGCCTGCCCGTCCAGGTCTTCCGGAGTAGGTTGATCCCCCAGATTGGGCATCGCAGCTAGCCCCCCTTCGATCAGGTCTCTCAGCCGAGGCAGCGCCGAGTCGGGCACTGACAGTGGCCGTGGCTGCGGGTGGCCCTCTCCCTGTGACACTGGGCGTTTGAGTAGTGGTATGACGGCCACGATGGCCTCGTGGTCAGCTCCCGGGTGTAGCTGTGGGCTGACCTGCGCGTGCGCAAAAGGGATATTAGAGAAAGCCAGGTCCAGGACATGTCCGCAATCCTGGGTTGCCACCCCAACTTCGCTGATAAGAGAGAGATTGTGGCCGTCTGCCCAGCCTGCGATGTCATCTCCCCGGTTCCCGTTCCTCGTCCCGGGCTCCCAAGAGTAGTGATGCGCGTTGAAGTCACCCGCGATCAAAGCTCGCTCCGGGGGTTTGAGTTCTAGCAGTATCCCTGTTGTGCGGCTGTGGGGGTCGCGGGGTTGTCTGTACACGTTGACGATAGTCGTCGTTTTGTCGACCACCAGCCACAGTACGTCTCTCGTGTGGACAGGCCTCTGCTGCTCCACCGTCATCCCTATCCCTTTGCGTGTGTAGGTCAATACTCTTGGTCTGGTTCCTTCGCTGTCCCAGAAGTCGACCGGGACGAAAGAGTCGAAACCCGGGTGCGTGTTCAGTTGCACGTTTCCGTCCTTCCAGCCCGTCCAGGGTTCCTGGACGAGGACCACATCTATCTGAGCCTCCCAGCAGAGCTGCAGGAAAGCCGTGTGCGCCGGGGAGATCTTTCCGACGTTGCCCTGCGCAACGCGTAGCATCCGTGGGGTCGCCGCTCTCGGCTTACGTCTCCGAGTCGAGTTCGAGGTGGGTGTAGGCATTCGCGACGTTGTAGTTTGGCTTCTGTGCTGCCCGTTGGCTCCTGCTTGGCATGGGTAGCACGGGACGGTCGATGGAGGTGTTGTCGGGGGAGTCTTCGCCTTCGCCTTCGTCCGCCTCGTCTTCATCCATGCTGCTGCTGTCAGTGCTTCCGTCACCGAGGCAAACGATCGAGCTTGCGGAGGGCGTTCTCGTGCGCGCGCGCTTGGCGCCGGGTTGCTGGTTCTGGCTGGTGGAGGTAGGGACGCCTGCCGCCTCCTGGCTACTGTCGGATCGAGTAGCCTTGTACAGAGTGTCCGATGCTTTCTGGCCGGCCTTCCGGATCCGAGCCCGCTCCTTTCGACCGGGAAGGGAGACGACGCCGTTTACGGCCGAGGGCCTCGCTGGGCAGTCTGTGTGGCTGGCTTGGAAGGGGCCGCAGCAGTTGGCACATTGGGGCCTGGCCATGCAGGGTCCCGTTTCGTGTGAATCGGAAGGTCTTCCGCAGTTGCTGCAGATCGGTCGTCGTCCGCAGAACCGGTTGGAGTGGTAGCCCTGGCAGCCGGGGTCGTGTCGGATGAGCGTCCTTCGTTTCTTGACGGGCAGAGATCTGCCGCTTTGGTTGAAGAGCCTGAAGGGCGTGACCTCTGATGTGAATGATATGAGCCAAGATATTTCGTTCGTGACTGGGTTGGGCCCAAGGCGGGACGGTCGAGCAAGGACAGGCTTCTGTCCTGTCTGTGCGAAGACCTCATCTTCAACGAGTGTGGCTGGGTCCAGGACGTCCCCGCCAATGCTGTGTAGTTTTGTTGGGCATCGCGGCACAACGTAAGTGTACCACTTGATAGGCGTCTCGACCTGGTGGGCGCCGAGGCATTCCGCCAGCTTTGCCTTACTTGCAAGTAGTCTTTCCTGTATTTGCTTGTTTCGCGGCTTCAGAGAGTAACCTGTGCTGATATGGTAGACGTGGGGAAGGTCCGCTAGCCCCAGGCCAACGGCCTTACAGACGATCTGTCGTACGGCGAACGGTGCGATCTTCCGAGCGGCCGCTAAGCTTTCTTCCGGGACGCGGGCAAAGATGCGGAGGTCCTCCTTCGGCTGCGCCTGCGGCTGATCCTCGGCGGGGAGTGTGGCCTTCGGGCGGGCAGAGCTCTGGCAGCTCTGGCCGCTCCGGGTCGCCGCAGTGGTGTTGCCCGCCATCGGTGCGACGACAGCCGCCCAACTCCGGGCCGCTATTGGGCTTGTCTCGTGATTGATCAGTCTCTTGAGGGTTTGAATGACATAGGCAGTGGCTTCTTTCGCGATCTGCTTTCTAGAACCGTCAAAGCTGGCGACAACGCTGTCGACGGACCGTGCAATGGTCAGAAAGACGTCTTTCCGTGCCTCGTACTGTCTAGCTTCTTCTGCAAGGGCTGTCAAGACGGACCCTGTGGCAGATCCGCTCGGAGCAGATGCGGTAGAGGCTGCGGGCCCCTCGGCCGAGGTAGGGGCGTCGGTGGTGGCATCAAGCTGGCTTCCCGTTAGGCTGGGCCGGGTCGGCTGTGCCTCGACGTCGCGGCGTCGCTTAGCTCTTGAGGTGGGGTTCGGCTCCGGAGGTGTCCCGGAGCCTGGTTCGGGGTCGGCTTGGTCGGCCGACATCAGTCCGGTGCCCGACGGCGGCTGTGAGGCCATCGCGGATGCGGGCTCCGGCAAGGGGAGGTGAAGAGTTTTCGGCTGTTAGTAATTTGGTGGTAGGCTCACTCATTCACTAACAGCAGATGCCAAGAAAAATTAGGCGAGAGGGAAGTTGTCTGATGGAGCATTATACGGATGGGGATCTGGTGAATTGCAACAACCCACCACAGCGCGAGCCAGCTTCACCAGATAGCATTGCTGTGTGGGCCCCTATGTTGCCACTCGCGTTTCTGACTCGAAACAAAGAAGACATTGGAAAGGTTCCTGGTCCACCGCCCGGTGCAGGTGGGCTACCCAGTTCTGTATCGTCTTGATCATATTGAAAGTAGTTATCTACAGCACGAGGCCTACATATTGTATCGTTCTTCGGATCTGTTCATGCTTCCTGTCCGCAATAATAACTGATGGAGTTCTTCGTAAAATTGTATCTATCACCGGCGATGATGGCTACTCGCAAAGCTTTGAGTGGCTGTTGAAGGTTGAACTGCGCTACATTTGGTAGCACACCACTGTGTATAACTGCTATTCTAATGTCATGTTCAAAACATTCCCAACGAGTTTCTTTGAGGCGAAAACCATGGAAGCCGTATCCTTCCCCAAAACCTCGTACCTTTCTTTCCTAACTCTCCACTTCTCGCCATCAGTCCAACTTTCCATGCGTGCTGATCGATCAGAACAATAAAGCTTCATTTGATCGGAATGTCCGCAATCGTCAGAACAACACGGCCCTCGTACGACAAAATCCACGAGTTCATCCTGCATTTGACGACTCAGTTCCAGGTTCGATTGATGATCTTGCTGGCGATATAGAACCGAGGAAGTTGTTACAGCAGTGGGTGAATGGCGGGGAAATAAATGGTCCGGTGTGTCTGGGCCGGGCTCGACGTATCCTTCTGGTATTCCACGATCGCAATCTTCCAATGCAGTTTCGAAATTCCCAAATGAGTAGATCAAGTCCACCCCATGATGAGCAATCCCGTGCATCGGTCCGAGAAAAGGATTACCAAATTCCACAAGATACCGATGGATCCTATTGCATCTAGGATTGGGGCGGGAAGGTGTTTGCCGCATCCCACGGTGAGCCTTGAGAAGCTCGCCGGCGCAGTGAACTTTGGTGTATGTCATAGTGGCGTCAGAGATAAATTGAGCTAACCCATCTTGAACAACTTCGCTACGGGAGGTGCGTACGATGCCATATGCCTCTAGAATACTTTCAGCGACTTCGTGTGATGGAAAACAAGGTCTGAAAATTGTGTTGAAATCCTCGAAGTTCCAGTTTGCCATCCGGGCGAAGCCATGGAATTCTTGAGATGTCGCGCCCAACAGAACCTGAACATCGTCCCCGATAACTTTAGAATGTGCTTGCACATCATCGTGTCCAAGAAGCACGGAGATGTTGCCATCTGAATCAGTCTGTTTGATAGTCAGACCGTCGATTACGAGAGTGAAGAACCTCCAACAAAGCTCTGATACGGCGCGAAGCAATTCGTGAGTGGCTACCGTTTTGAGAAAGTCTAGACGGTCCATTGGGCTTAGTTCGTGGATCGAAAACCACCGACAGAGTCTCTCCCAGCGCTCATCTGCCTTCTCGATGAGTGATACATCAAGGCCACCAAAAGCACCCGACATCAGGGCAGCCTTCTGAAACAAAGGCTTCTTTGTGCCAAACTCAGCCTCGAGCAGGTGGACATGGCAGGATGTTGCTCCAGCAGATTGGCCCATGATGGTAATTCTAGTTGAGTCACCGCCAAACCCTTCAATATGATGTTTGATCCAGATAAGAGCGACTTTCTGGTCGTGAAGGCCAAAGTTTACACCTTTGACAGGGGCCTCGGAATCTTGCGCCGCAAGCATGATGGACGAGGCGCCGAAGCCTAAGATATTAAGACGGTAGTTGATGGCAACAGCGACGAAAGGCGTACCCTTATTAAGAGCCCGGAGTACCAATCGGGAGGGATCTGTATGACGAATACTTAGATGAGAACAAAACTATAGATGGGGTAGCGTCGAGATACGACCTACCACAAACGGGGTCGGTACATGACCCATCTGCAAAACCGCCACCGTGAATCCATATCATGACGGGTAATTTGACCGGCTCGGAAGTGTCATAGAGCTTTGCGACTGCCTCCTGGCTTGGTCGGACAACGAATAAATTCAAACATGCAAACTCGTCTTCGCCATCATTTGGGAAAGGCAAGTATGATTGGAATGATCGCGAATCAGCTGCACCTGGCGCAGGACACTTGGGACTGTGATATGGTCAGCGGCTACTATCTGATGCCAACATTGGCACAACTAAAAGTAAGCGCGTAAGGGCAGATTCCCGTACCCATTTTTTGTGGCGTCTAAAACATCATCTGGCAATCGCTCCCTCAGTCGTGAATGCTCCCATCTTCCAGGCACGTAGCCGTAAGGTACGCCACGGAATTCCTCGACGTCTTGAGACAATGCCGATTTCTTGCCGACGATGGTCTGCATACAGATCGGTTTTGTCGCTGTTTGGAATGAAGCCGAGACTAAGTTGTCTCCCTGAAATGACGATGCCATCGTGATGTGTAATTGGTGGATTAGGTGCACTAGAAGAGCAAAGAGCTGGGAGGCTGGATAGAAATAGGCGAGTACCGTAAAAATTCGAGCCTTCCCATTCTCAGTACCAAAAGCTCGCTGATCTCTACGACTTTTTGAGATTTAGATTCTGAATACCTAGAGGCATTCCATTGGCCAGAGGCCAGGTAAGACAGCGGGAGCACGGACCAATGCAAGTTTGAGCTGCTCGAGTTCCTACAGTACTGCGCGTTGTGGTCACGCCGGCCAGTAGCTAAATTAGCTGGGTCGTACCAAGGAGGCGTGTTCTGTTTTAGTTTGACCGTTATGCATCGGGGTGACTCACAGATGATTTGAAACGTGACTGTCATTGCAAGTTAGTGGAGTCGCTATCCCACTCCAAGGAATCTAGCTCTGCACGTCAAGCATAGGTGGCCCTTCTCAATGGGGTTCTCAATGCGGTGTGACTTCAAACCCCCTGCTGTAGCATCCGAGGCTCGAGGCCTTGCATTAGATTTGAACCATTTGTACTCGTGTAGACTGAACATTAACTCTGATAATCACTTCGCCTCTTGTGTTACAATTATAAGTACAGCGGCTCGATTGCTTTTAGCAACGTGAACGTAATGGAACCTATTATTTGTCAACCCTCTAACCCTGGTCTTTGATGTCTTCACGTCTTCTCTTATCACCTTGCCCAAGTCTGATTACCATGCCATACTCAGTTCTCAGTATCGCTCGACCATTCACCCTTTCCATCCCAGACGGCGAATATTCCCAGCTTCGGACCCTCTTACAGGTCTCACGCGTGGGACCCGAGACTTAGGAGAATCAACATCAAGATGGGCGCTACGGCATCTCACACCAGTGGCTTACCTCGACCACCCACTATTGGTTGACAAAGTTTAACTGGCGTGCCCAAGAAACCCGCATCAACTCACTTCCCAACTTCAAGATTTTCGTCCATGAGGAAGCCGGCAAAGAGGATATCGACCTCCACTTCGTTGGACTATTTCGGAAAGGGAAGATGCTGTTCCCATCGTGCTGGTTCATGGGTGGCCAGGTAGCTTCCTTTGAGTTCATGCCTTTCCTAGAGATTGTTCAGAAGAAGTATAGTTCGTCTGACTTGTCTTATCACTTCATTGTTTCATCTCGTCCAGGGTATTTGCTCAGCTCGGGGCCGGGCCAAGCGCAGGCCTACACCAGTCAGGATGCAGCACGCGTGATTAATAAGGCGATGACATCGCTCAGTTTTAGGCGGTACGTCGTACAAGGAGGAGATGTTGGGTCACTGATTGCTTCAACACTCGCATCAAACTACAGATCAGTTACAGCTGTCCACCGTGAGACTATGTTCATCCAAAGGGACTTGCAGTATCCGTGCTAACAGTGACAAGTTAATTTACTGCCGAGTCTCGAAATGCCGAGTGTCGACGACCCGTCGCTATCGCCCAAAGAAAAAGAAGCTATCGAGTACGGGGGGCAACGCTTTCAAGAATGAAATCTTCGCTATCGACACTCCATTAGGTTCACTTCTTCCTCCATCGCATATTCGACCTGGTACTTGACAGTTCTCGCCTGCAATGCTAACATGCAACTCACTGATCAGGATTCAATATCGTTTTACATCTTGGTTTCATGGACGAGTTGAAGAGCAATCCCAACCTCAGCTTGGGTGCTGCTCTCAATGATGTTTGTGGACACAGCTAAAAATTTTCTGCTCTGATCCGATGCCCTGAAAACTGACAGAAATCAGTTCACTTTTGAACGATACACCAAGGTTGGCGCCCTTCCAGCCTGGTCTATCAAGTTATTTTCTGCAAAGTTCAATCCGGCGCTAGGTGCGATCATGGCCCCATGCAAGTCGAGTTCGCGATTCTGGCTGCCGTGCTGTCAGACTCTTACGCCGAAATATTTCAGGACATGGTCATGCATCATGTTGTGGGTCTGTTGCCTACATCAAAAGGCAAAGGTAAGCAAAGTTTGAATCCATCAGGGTCCTGCTGATGGCGTTTCAAGACATATACTGATCATAGGTACCTCATGGACAACCACAGACTGGGTTTCGATCAACGTATGGTCATCCATCATTCCACTTATAACCAAAGCAAACGTCCGAGGCTTCCTTGGGCACGATGCTGCCACAGACGAAGACTTTCTTGACGTAGCAAGCACGTTTATCATCAATCAGATTGTCTACGCTGTAGGTGCAAAGCAATGACCGTCGTTCTTTCTTCCTGTTCTGTACAGGTATCTCCCTGGCTTCTCGGGTCTTGCCGAGCAATACAGAAACGGTGAGAAGATGGTCTTGAGACAGATGAAGAACAAAAAGGCCAACGGCCTCAAGCCTTTGTCTGATCCGCCAAGCGTTTTTTATTATGTCAATGAGGATGGGCAGTACCTGGACGATTTGCGACTTCAGATGGATATTCAGATGCCCTTGTGCGCTGCAAGCATCCACACTACCACAACGACCATTGTACAATGTCTCTACGATCTAGCCAGCCGTTCGCAGTACCTGCCAGCACTGCGCCAGGAGATAGAAGAGGATACTGAAGAGCATGGAGTTGTGCTCACCCGGCGGGCGGCTTCCAAATTGGAGAAATTGGACAATTTTGTAAAGAAAGTCCAAAGATTTTGCTCTCCTGACCTGAGTAAGTCATCTTTTCCCACTATTCACTCAAGCTGGAGAAATAGTCTAATACCTACGCTCATAATAGCCACCTTCCAGCGCAAGGCTACCGGTCCAGTCACACTCTCCAACGGGTTTCACATCCCCAAAGGTGCAAGAATCGAAGTTGCCACTGGGGCCATCAATGCGGATGAGGCCCTCTACCATAACCCCTCTGAGGTCGATGGCTTGCGATTTTACAACAAGAGACAAGAATCGGACGAAGCTCGGTCAAAGTTTCAGGTCTTAAGTGTGAGTAAAACAGATCTAGCCTGGGGTTATGGTAGAGCTGCCTGCCCTGGAAGGTTCCTCGCCGACCTCTTGACCAAGATGGTCTTGGTGGAGATCTTGAAGCACTACAACATCAAAATGCCGGAGGGTCAGTGTCGGTATGAGAATATGGAGATTCAGGGCCAGGTAAGACAATGAACAGCTCGAATGGCCAGGGAAAGTCAACACAGAGTTGTCAGCTGACTTATAACCTCATTAGACGTTGCCCAATGAGCAGGGCGTAGTCTTAATTCGGCACAAAGCTGTATGATGTGGCACCAAAAGGAACAATTCGAGGCTATAGCTTGATCTGGTATGGGCAACCAGATTGGATCGTGATCAGTGCTCTGTTCTGTTGCTTCCACACTTTGTAACAAAGAAGTTGCTAGTTTTGTGATATGTTGGAGCAAGGATTATTCAATCGTAAGATGGTGACTAGTTGCAAGATTGGCAGACGTTTCCGCTACAAATCTGGCCTTTGTCCGCACATGATTGATACTAGATGCTAATTAGTTCGATGATTCATGAAAGGAAGGACATGGTCACGCACATAGTTCCATGTCATCTCATTCCTCCCGGGGAAAGTGTAGCACTGCACAATGTTGTTGCCAGAGCATCCAAACGCGTTTCTCAGATCGCAACCCTTGCCTTGATTGGCACTGATTGGGATGGTGTCGCAAGCGCCAGCTCTACACACTTGTCCTTTGTCCGCGCATGAGTCGACCTTGGTTGAAGTCAGCTCTAATGGTTCCGATGGGATAATTGCTCGAGGACGGAGACTAACATAGTTCCAGGTCAGTCCACTTCTCCCCGGAAAAGTGTAGCACTTCACAATATTGTTCCCCGAACAGTCTACAGCATCTACAGCCCCGCAACCTTTGCCTTGGTCTGCAGCAAACGCTGCCGAAGTAAAGAGTGGAAGTAAATAAAAGAAGCGCATCTTGAAAGAGTATCGGAGAGCATATGTCTCAGGAGGGGTGGCCACAGTGAGGTGGTAAGCAGACAAGACTTAACTCTTTGGCGCCATCCAGGACATGCTGATATATTTATTTTCCTCCACTTCTCCGAAGGACTGCCCACATGCTGCGAGCTCGCAGGAAACAAGGTTTCCTGGCCTTGTTTAACTAATCTTGCGGTCAACCGCGCCATTATGAGCGTCACGGGGAGATGAAGGGCTATTTGAGAGGTAAGTCACGTTGGAAAAGACTGCTCAGGTCTCTTGAGTCGTGGAAATGAGGACCGTTGGCGCACGCATTGAACCGGGCAATCGGAGCAGGTTACATCTGGCCTTAGCAGACTTTAGCTCATCTTACAGAAGGCACTGTTAGAGGTTCGGGCAAACCGACATCCCTCAATGAATCAGTATGGCCACCACGGTCAGGAAGTATAGTACTCGCGCCCCGCTATCCCTACATGCGTTAGAGCACGGACAGAACTTTACTTAATTGCTCTTGAGGATTGACTCGGCGCCAGATTCAAAATCGAGGCCTGTCGAGTAAAGCAACTACTTGGATTGGACGATCCCTTCTCTTTCAACTCATGTGTAGGTGAGGTTGTGAGCGCATGATACTATTATGTCTGTATTATACTTTATCCGAAGCAGATTATATCGCTCAATACAGTCGGCTCTGTGTACCATTATACGTCTCATTGCTAGGAGTCTATGCAAAAGCAGCAGAAGCAGCAGAAGCAGGAGAGACAGCGAATTATAATAAGGGCGGCACGCTGTCAAACAGTCGCATATGCCCTGACGAGTCCCGAGACCCCCGAAGTCGTCTTCATTGCATGTTTTAACTCGACTATCATGAAACGCCATACAAACCTCGAAGGCTTACGATCTGCGGCGGCAGCCTTTCTCTTTCTTCAGGGTGCCAATGCCGACAAAGTGTATTGTGCCGACGTACAAGAGAAAGTAGTAGCTGAAGCCAACTGCGACGGTCAGGCACCACCTAGAACGTACTACATGTTCAACAGTCAAGAAGAACACGCTATCGGCTCAAGAGTCGACTTAAAGAACGCACAAGTCTACGACAGCACCGACGCCTTCAAAAAGCGGCACGAACTATTTCCGGCTGATATCCCATTACAAGAATTCGAGTCTGACGGTTTTGGGAAACGCGCGTGTCGAGTGGGTGGGATTGGTGGAGGCTACCGCGGGGGTGTTTTCGTGCCCTACTACGGCGGACGGGTAATTGGTGGTGGGGTTGGTGGTTGAAAAGTCGCAGGTGTTACGCTCTACAAAGATCAAGCAAATGGGGAACGCCATAGAGCCAGTGGGGCGTGTGCATTTTCTTCCTTGATAGTATTTTGGACAGACGAATACATTGCCAATTGCTTTTATTTGAGTAACGGACTTTATAAGACCTTTTGCGGCATTGGCAGGAAACGTAATATACTTGTGGAGGCCAGATTGCCCCTGTCTAGGCACACTTACAAACAGACCCGTAACCACCACAATCAGCATCGTGAACCCACCAAAACACCAAAAACATACAACACCAGGTATTCGCTGGTCGTCACCGACCCAACTACTAATCCGGCCCTCATTGGCTTGTCTATGGGAGAGCGGACGGGATCCCGAATTTTCCAATGGGTATGGTCGTATGTAGCGGATTGGGGGGAGCATGCTGCTTGTGTCGTGACGATGTCCGAGAAGACGAGGCCATGCCGAATTATTTACAGCTATCCGCAGTGACCTGTAAGTAAATATATGCTACCTAGTGTACAAAGCAGTCCGTCAGTAGAAACTCTCAAGGATGGAAATGACTGGATGTTTAGCAGGCAAGAGCTTCTGGCCATGGCCATGGGAAACATGACAATAATTGCCTGAACTTCTGATGTCGTTCACGAGCGGCGGATCACCTGCCGCCGAAAGCTGGTGCCTGAGGAACGTAATTGTGCCTTGCCGTACTTGAGTTCTTCGGGTTCCATGACGCCCGTCTTCCGAAGCATCTGTCGAATAGCTGGTACTACCCTATAGAACCAAGCAATCAACACGTCACAATCCAGGCCCGGGGGCGCGTACAACTTCACAATAGGGGCGGCCTCCCTTGCTACTTTAGGCCTTGGCGGAAATATGGCGTACTGTTTACGAATAGAACTGTATCCGTAGATGAGCTGTCATTAGAAAGGGGTGGGTCCGGGACCAGCCGCCCCTGCAGACTGCCAACCGGATACGATTCCAAACTACCCCAGGCATTAGTACGCCCTGCCGCCCACCATGTGTCGCCGAAACAAGTCGATCAGGGGAAGCGCCACGCTTCCTTATCAGTTAAGTTGCCCACCAAGCTTTTCTCTTTCTGCAAGGCTAATCTTTTCTGTCTCCCATTTCAAGTGCCGGCGCATTACGGCGGCCAGTCAGACTGACCTTTGAGGACCGAATTGGTCGATTACCAGCCGGTGCTTTGTCTGCTCGCGGTACTTGCGCATAGCATCACCGCCGCTGTGGTGATGGCATGGCAACCATGGGAGAAGTTCAAGGCCGACCATCCCGTCACGGCGGACTACATGGTTGAATCATGGGCAGCCGTCCGGCCATATCTGCCTCCGGTCAACTTCATTACCGTTCACTATGCCTACTTCATACTGACCGGACTCATCTTTGCCGGCATCTTTTACGGACTCTCGCGCCCGACCAACAGCGTCAGCTTCATCGATAGCCTTTTCCTCGTCCTCTCTGCCTTTACCACCTCCGGACTCAACACAATCGATATCAGCAAACTCAGTACTGCCCAGCAGGCTATCATGGCCTTGATGATGATTCTCGGCAGTCCCGTCTTCGTCTCTATCTTCACCATCTGGCTTCGCGCCCGCGTCTTTGAAAAGCGTTTCGAGGACATTGTCGAGACCGAACGGAACAGGAGGATCAAGAAGACTGGCGCCATAGTGGGTATGGCTGGAGCCATGATTGGCCTTCCTGTCATGTCGTCCTTTAAGGGGTCTAGGCGGAAGCAAAAGAAGGGTAGACATGAGCGGCAGGCCGAGGCAGATGCCTTCCAGCTAACGAAGCCTACATCCCGCGAGAATGACCACGGCCGGAGCCAAAGCCAGACCACCAATCAAGAGTCTGCACCACCCGGGATGCTAGAGCCCATCGAAGAGGGCCAGAAACTCGGTATCTCCACCAGCTCCACTGAGCCACTCTCGCCCAAGTCGAATGCCACCAACAGGCGAAGGCCTTTCAGTCGTGGCGATAGCCGCCAGTCTATTTCAGAGGGCTTCGATTTCAAGACGTTTATCCACGAGAACAAACAATCAGTTGGCAGAAATGGCCAGTTTTTCGACCTCTCGGAGGAACAGCGCGAGTATTTGGGTGGCGTCGAATACCGGGCCCTTAAGATTCTCTTTACCATTGTTTGCGTCTACTTCGTCCTCTGGCAGCTCCTTGGGGCCATCACACTCGGCGCCTGGTCATACATGCACAGCCAGAGCATAACGGCCGTCAATTCTCAAAACTCCTGGTGGGCTGGCATCTTTCTCGCTATCTCTTCTTTCAACAATGCTGGAATGACACTCCTGGACGCAGGCGTGGCAGCCTTTGACAATGATGCCTTCGTCTTGACCGTTGTTACCATCCTTTCCCTGGCTGGAAATGCTGCGTTCCCCGCATTCCTCAGAGCAACCGTCTACTTCTGTAGCTGGGTTTTGAAGTTGTCTGTCGACGACGACGAGTATACTGTCTGGAAGGAAGCTTTCGATTTCATCCTGAAGTACCCTCGTCGTCTGTACATGATGATGTTCCCTTCCAAGGCCAATCTTGTTTTTGTCACCATGTTCTCCACAATCGCGATCATGGACTGGGTCTTATTGTTGGTTCTCAGCATCGGCAACTCTGCTATCCAGGCATATCCGGTTGGAAAACGAGTTGGGCTGGCCATCTTTCAGGCATTAAGTAAGTCACCAAAGGAGGTTTCAACTGGCCCAGGCATTGACTGATCTTTCGACCTTTAGCCATTCCTTCCGGAGGTTTCGCGGTTGTTCCTGTGTCAAGCCTATACTTCGACGTTCTAGTCCTATGGGTCATCGTCATGTACATTTCCGCGTATCCGGAGATTATCGTCATGCGGAACTCAAATGTCAGTGGAATCCCTAGTCCAGCTAAGCCATATACTCCCAGCTAACACTGTTCAAGGTGTACGAAGAACGGTCACTAGGAATCTACACCACGGAACCTGAAAAGTCCGAGGACTCAGACTTGACTGCCAATGAGTCGGTAGATGAGCTGCTGCCAACGTTTGGGCCCCTCCTATCACGACCGGCGTCTGGCCATGCGCTTAGCTTAGAGCCAACAGCTGTTTCCGCATCAGGCGTGTCACAAGAAAAGACGGGCATTTCCACCAAACCCGTCAAAAGGCTAGCCGCCATTGGCCGGCGTGGTACCTCCTTCGTGGGCAAGCAGATCCAGAACAGGATGAACAACTTCCAGGGTGTGGGTGTGACGACGAAGCCGCGGCTAAAGCGGTCGGTTGCCATCAACTTTGACAACCCGAACGCGACGCCGGGCTCCACCTCTACGCCTGAGGGCCACGTGAGCCTCGTGTCGCAGCACCTCCGAGGGCAGCTATCGCACGATATCTGGGCCATCGCCTTCTCGCTGTTTTTGGTCACACTGATCGAGACGTCCCATTCGATCGCGGACCCGCGCTCTTACAGCGTCTTCAATTTCTTGTTCGAAATCGTGTCGGGCTACACAAACATCGGACTGTCCATGGGCCTTCCGGACCATTCTTTCAGCTTCGTGGGCGGCTGGTACACAGGTTCAAAGCTAGTGATGATTATAATGATGATCCGTGGCAGGCACAGAGGCCTCCCGGTCGCGCTGGACCATGCCGTCAAGTTGCCAGGATGGGACAATGTCAAGAAGCAGAATGAGGACGCTGAGATCAGGCGGAGTTTAAGTAAGAGTCGAACTACCTTATTTTAGACATGGCAAGCTTTTTTGTAGACTTTGTTCGTGAACGGACAGTAGACAGAATAGATTCCATTCCACGCCCAAGACTGTTGGGGTCATACTGCTCAATGTCTTACTACTAGCTTCTGCCCTAACGAATCATGCCCGTCACTGTTGTTCAAATGCAACCGTCTCACCTGGATACTCACCTCGAGGCCGCTGCTATCGAATACAAACCATTCAGATAATGACAAAGTATCTGAAGTCTAAGGGAGACCGTCTTAGTAACGTAATTCAAGTGGCAGAAATACGGGGGCGGGTACTTCATCCTTGACGTCCATTTACCCCATCGCCTCCAAAGCTGAGCCTTTCGGAGGGGTTGCGCCAGGCTGTGCTGAACGCTCCCACACAATTCGTTCAAAATAAATGTGTCGAGAATTAACTCACCGTATTCTCACAGCGTCATACAGGTCATTGGATGCGATTTTGGCAATCGTACAAGGTTTGGCTGTCAGTGAATCCCATCAGCCATCGCCGAAAATAGTGGGTACTGACACCGATAATAGTGGATCACATCGCCGAAAACACGGAAATACCCGGCGTGAGGCAACACGAATACAAGCCTTGAAGGCCTGAGGAGCTGCACATATAAGTCGCCCATATCACTGTTTTCTAGAGAGAGTCAATTCAGTGCGACCTCACAATCATCTAAACATCATTGCACTGCTGCATCATCTCGCTACTCCATATCACCGATTCATCATCTCCACAATGGGTTTCCACGGCCGTTACACTACTGAGAAGGTGACCTATCCGTCCCATGGGGAGACCATCACTGGAGTTCTCTACAAGCCCCACGGCGTCACCAATCCGCCCGGAATCGTGGTCCTAGGCCCCTATTCGTTTGTCAAAGAGCAAGCTCCGTTGCAGTATGCCACACGACTTGCTGATGAAGGCTACGCTGCCTTGATATTCGACCCACGCACTGTTGGAGAGAGTACCGGCCAGCCACGTCGTGTGGAAAACCCTGTAATGAAGAACGAAGACGTGGTCTCCGGTCTCGATTATCTCGTCAGCAGAGGCGACGTAGATGCCAAGAGATTATTCCTCGTAGGCGTCTGTCAGGGCGGCCCCGAGTGTCTTGATGTGGCGTCCTATGACGACCGCGTTGTCGCTGTCACTTCCGTGACGGGATACTACCGCGACCATGAGACGGATTTGTGGATGATATGCTCCGGCTGCGTCAATGTCGAGCCCGGTGTCGATGTAGGATCTTTGAAGATGCCTACGCCCGAGCAAGGAGAAGCCCTCTATCAGGCGCGCATCCAACGAGCCAAAGATGCCAAGGCCCTGTATGAAAAGACGGGGGAAGTCATCTACCAACCTCTTGTCGACCCCAAAGCTGCGGATCCGAACATAGGCTCCCTTGCCGGGCTCCCAGGACCTGTCACATGGTCGTGGTATGGCCCCTGGACCATGAAGGGCTTCGAAAACCGGTATGCGGTCATGAGCGATTTGGATCACTTCGGCTATTCCACCGTCGATGGCGTGGCCAAGCTCACCAAGCCGGCTTTGGTGATTCATGGCAATAATTGCATGAATGCCGCTGCAGCAAAGAGACATTTTGAGTCTATCCCGGCGAAGAAGAAGAAACTGATTTGGGAAGATGATATCTCGCATTTCCAGCACTACGAGCAACCGGATGTTATAGATAGGAACGTTGGTGCAATTGCGGCTTGGTTTGGAGAGGTAGAGGTGTAAGCCAAAGGCGTGTAGAACTTCTGAATGGAACTAAGTCGTCTCAACTGTGTTATCTATTGTTGGTGACACAGCTGAAGTCTTCATGCTAGGATTTACGACGCGGCCCTGTTTGTTCCACTGCGGAGCATCTCAGCAACGGCCTCGCAACCACCGATAGCACCTAGTCGCCACTTTCACCCTTCGTTGACCCTGGGTAAGGCCCTTCACTTGCCTCGATGTGCATCATTCGTGTATAATCACAATCCTGAAGCAGGCCGAGATGTTAGGGAACAACAGAACGGTGTCGCAACTCAGACAAAGTTGGAAAGTCAGGGTAGGATAATGGCTGAACAGAACCGTTACACAAGATTCCAGACCCCAGCTGGGCCATGTACATACAGGTTATCATGCACGTAGTTAGCGAAGGGCTGCTATCTACAGAAGACTTCCACCCCAAATGCAGTTAGAGGATTAAAAGTGAGGTGGGTATCGTAGGGACAGCTGCGGCGGTCGGTGATTTAAGTTTACACCAGTAAAGTAGGGTACCCTGAACTGATAATCAACTAGTCAACCTACGGTGAACCCCTTCTATCCCGCCATAATTGCCGAAGTCCTGTCCAAGCCGCTCGGAGTCTGATGCCGGAAGGGAGAGCTGGCTAGACCTTTGCCTGGCCGAGTGGCCTGTGCATGAGCGATTATGTAATCAGAGACCGGCGGTGATCCCAATCCCCTCAGCGCGAGCAATGTGTTGATCAACCCCTCTCTACATTTGCAGAGCTGGGCTTTACATGACGTCTGCTTGGCGACTCAATCCTTCCAGCGTGCAGTCATCACGCAGGCAGAAGCGTCTGATAATCTCATGCTCAGAATGCCACAGACGCAAACAGAAAGTGAGCTTCTTGATGGGCAGTTGGCTCATCTTGAACTAACTGGCACCAGTGCGATCGACAGCATCCGTGTTTTCATTGCTCACGACGAGGCAAGCCCGTATGGACCCTGTCGCCAAATATCGCTTTGAAATATACTGATAGAACTTAGGGATCTTGTCTATATGAGTATACTGCGCAAAAGCACGTGGGCGCCGAGACAGTGGCAACTCAGCTCGTGACAGTCCAAGATCTGCCAACAAACCCTACATATCAGTCGCAGTCTGACAGCACGCCCGGCGAAGAGAGAACGTCCGTTACTATTCAAGATCTTTCTACACGGTTGGGTTACTCTGAAAATACTAAAGGAACTCTTGATATTGTTTCCAACCTCGGAGTATTGGGCCATTACTCGGCCCTCAGCAGTAAAAGCCTACGGAACCACGATGCGGCAGTTCACTACGTCAATCTCATAAGGAAAATACCACAAAGGGAACACGTTATCATTCTCGTGCAGTCATTCTTTCAAAATGTGGCATGGCAGTATGATGTTATCGACGATTCTAAATTCTGCGACGAGCTATCAAATTGGAATCACATCTCCTCCACAGCGTTGAATCAAGGCCCCGAGAACTTGTCTGTAAACACCCGGGCATTCCCTGCTTTACTTCTTCAGGTTCTCGCACTCGCATTACAGTTCCATCCTGATCAAAACGATGAAGCACTAGAGGGCCTCAAGTACGCACCCGATATCGACTTCGCCGATCTAGCCGCCGATTATAGCAATGTGGGCCATCAAGTCGCGTCTATGCTTGGGAGCAAAGACATCTCATTGGCCAAAGTTCAGGCTGGACTGATGGAGGCATTCTTCGAGAAGAGTATCGGCTCAGTCATTAAATCATGGCACACCCTTGGGAGAGCGATTCGAGACGCTCAAGAACTTGGCCTGCACAGAAGTAGGGTTTGGGAAACAAGCCCTTGCGCCGAAAACGTCATGCAGACGCCAGTATTTCCACTGGAGAGGAAATTGTGGCTTGTGTTGCATCTCTGGGACGCACACATGGCTGTTGTTCTCGCGAGGCCCATTGCGACTAAATTAGATTCGAGCTTCGTGCCATCAACGAGTCTGATAGCTACTTCGCCCCCACACGCCTTTAACGACGTGACGTTATCCCCATTCGACTTCATAGTATGCGGCTATCATGCTGCCTACAAGTATCTGCAGGACATTCACGACCTTGAGATTGAGAACAAAGATGCGCAAGAGACTGTTCAGAATATACACAACGCCGTGATTAACAATATTTCCAAACTTCCGGCGTGGGCAACCTCGTCAAGCCCGGCACTCGACGGCAAACACCCTTGGCTTCCTGCTGCTCGTGAGACACTCATCACTGAGGTCCATTTTGTCCTCCTGGCATTGCACCGCCCTTTCATATCGACTCTGCCCGTCAGTCGAGCAGAGGCACACATGGCCGCGCTGAAGATGCTTGCATCGCAAAGCAGGCTGTTTGAACAAGCGGAGACCCAACTCTACAAGGGATTCACTCTGGTCTTTTCTACATTCGATGCCATGGTCCTGGTGGCAGCAACATACATTCAAGCCCCGGATGATCATCTTAATCTTCAGGCAGAATCGGTGAAACACTTGGAGTGGGGGTTGGCAAGGCTGGATGCCATGAGGTCTCGGAACTCCATGGCAGACTTTGCTTATAACACCGTAAAGGTGCTTTTCCGGAAAATGCTGAGCCAATCTTCCTCTTCAGACCCTTCTACTCTGAGAATTAACAAGCCGGAAACCCCGTTCAAAGCTGTGGAGACGCTGTCCTGGGATCATGATTCACAGGCCGACCCGGGTCTTCAGCAGAATCTAGATGCCACGATACTGCAAGAACCGCTATACGACCCAGTCTTTCAGGACATTTTTGGGGAACTCTTTCCCGTCCAGTGGCAAGGGCTGACCAACCCTGAACCTGGCGAACATGGAGAGGCAATGACCGATAGTCTTTGGCAATTGATGGACGAGCTCACGTAGCGAACGCTCCATGTCCCTATAGATGCAAATCAGCACCAGCTTCCGTTCATTAGATATTAGACAGCTGACGAGTTCGGTCAAACTTATCGCAGTTTGTTCCATTTGTATAACATTGCTCAACGCAAGTAAACAGCACGAGAATTGTCCAACGCAAATTTGCAGCAAAGTAGCTGGTTTATCGATCTCACTCAGGGCAAGTTTGGAATGAGAGTCCGAGATACTGTGCTGAAATTGTTGTACGCCGAGCAATCTCACCGGCATCAGAGAATTGAGAAACAATTGTTCGAAGGCTGTATTCACCGACCTTACATTTTCAAATATCGGTGAAGAGGCCACTGGCGAGTTACACTCGTTGGGCACTTACCATACATGGTAGTCGGAATGATGACATTGCCATGTTACCCAACTCACTTTTAGCATGACACCAACATGAAGATTCCTGCCCCAGACGGCATTGCCCTCCATAAAAGAGACTAGCATACGGGGATAACGACTGTAGTGCAGACCTCACCACAATCTGATGGGGAAATTATCATCGACATCCAAAATATTCTCATGAGAATGTGAAAATGATGCAGGCAGATTGTATGAACTGTCCAAATAATCTGGTTCTAGTGAGGTGTATAAATACAAAAGAGAAAATATGGTTATGTACGAAGACACGAAGACACTTATCTGAATGCAGAGTATTGATACAGGATATTGATGTAAGAGTCAATTAGGTACAACGAATAGTAGAATAGGATTAAAGATCAGAGACCCTGTCCATACTTGCAGCTCTCCGAAACCTGTAATTACGTGCTGCAGCTCCCGCGAAACATTGTGTGTTGCTCTTAAGGGAACGAATCTTTTCAGTTCCAGCCAAGTTTGAAAGGACTCTTAGGCCGGAAGCTTGAAGCCGGTTCTGCGGAGGTTCTGGAATACGTGCTCCGGATCGTACTCCTCTGCGACGGATTTAAGGAAATTAATGGTCTCTTCGCCGTGTGTCGAAAGCGGGTCTTGGTCCTTCCAGGCGTAGTTGAGGTATTTCCACTCTTTGTAAGCCTCGATCTCCTTGGCGTACTCGTCAATAGCGGCGCGGAAGTCGAGAGCAAAGGGGAGGATCAGTTTCTGGTTCGCAGGGGTATCGACAGTCAAGGCGATGAGCCACATGATGGTAGGGCCATCGGCAACAACGCTCTCCAGACCAAGTGAGTTCCCGCCGTTCTTGAGACCGTGCTTGACGATAGATTGGGTGACAGGCTGGAACTGAACAAGGACATTAAAGTCTGACTCGGGCGCGGCTTCCTTCATCTTGGCCGAGTACTCCTTGAGCTTGGTGTCGATGAAGTCCATGATACGGAAGTCGTTGGTAGTCTGGCCAACCATCCAGTTTGCGCTATTAAATGGTGTCAGTACTGTTTCGCGGCCCTCCATGTTGACAAGCAGGACAACTTACTACAAGCCCAAGGGTGTAGGACCAGTGAATTCCGGGACGAGCTCGGCTACAGTGCCCACACGGACGGTACTGGAGATGTTGGGGATGGCATAGTACTCGTCAAAAGCAGGCGCATCCATGTTGGCCTGGACGTTGGTCAAGATTGACCTCAAGCTGAAACCCGTCTTGTCATAGTACAGTGCGACAATGTTCTGGCTGTAGGGGTCGTTGTCCATGTTGTTGGCAAAGTTCAGGTACGCATTAAAGACGTTGTCTCTCTCGGTAAGGTTGTAGCTCACGAAGCCGCCTGACATCTGGGTCGAGTCGACAGTGCCTGTGAGGAAAAATTGAGCAAAGAACGCCACAAATGACGGCATGTATCACTTACGAGCATCGATTCTGGTGACGAAGCCAAAGTTGCCTGAGCCTCCCTTGAGGGCCTTCCAGAGGTCCGCATTCTCGTTTGCATTAGCGTTGACAACGGAACCATCCCCGAGGACAACCTCAAAGTTGGTGACTGAGTCGCAAGCAAAGCCATGAGAGTTGGTGTGGAAGGAGTACTGAAGTCCCGCACGTTAGTAAATAAAGGAAACCCGGAGTTGATTTGACTTACACCACCACCCGTCGTGAAGCCACCAACACCAACAACTGACGCTCTGCCGCCAACAGCAGCAACACCATATGGATCAAGGGTAGAAAAAACCCTCTCCCAGTCTGAGCCGGGTTGGATCGAAGCGATCTTTGTTCCTTCGTCATATGTCGTGGTGTTCATGTAACCTGGTTTGGAAATGACTATCAGTACATATCATATTGTAAAGGTAGGTCAACTTGTTCGTGTAAGTGCTTACCAAAGTCAATGGTGACACCCTTCTTGACGCCATTAGAGCCCGTGAAGGCTGAGTGAGCACCACTCCGAATACCAAAGGGACATTGGTTCCTGTTCAAGATCTTTGCGATCTTCGTCACGTCCGAGGTGCTCTCAGGCAGCACCATGCACCATGGAGCTTGCGCAGCATTGGCAGAATAGTATGTCTCTAACCGCGCATCGTAGAATGAGTTGTCCTTTGAGTAGACCTTGCCTTGAAGGTCTTGATCTTGGGCAAGGGCTGAGCACTGTAGGTGTCCAAGGTTAGAAATGATCGCCAGTGGGAGTGGATGAGAGAGGGAATGGGACGGTAACGTACACACACGCAGTGAGGACTGCGACCCCTTGCTGAGACAGTCGAGGCAGCCAAGGCCAAGATCGACAAATCCGTTGAGAACCTCATAATTACTAGAGTTTGTTTGACTCTGTGTGTATGCGCACGAGCTCCCGTGGTCGTTGCGTGGGGGTGATCTGATGGGAGGATCGGGATTGTTGACTGGATGGCAGCAAGACCAGGTGAGAGGATGAGAAAGACTAGAAACTCTCGAGGTGTTCTAGCGAATATCTATTGCCGTTGCATTCAGAATCAGCGATCAAATCTCCAGTGCCTTCCGAGTCCGCAGTTTTAAGTTCAGACCGACCTCGCCTCCACCGCGAGCTAGTGTCCTCGAGGGAGAACGGAGAACCAGCATGAGTCGACGTAATTTGATTTAATGCAACTAGCGGGCATTCACTATCCCACAAGCCGCGGTTCACACAGGGACCGATGTATACCCGCACGAATCCGGTAGGTGAAGTGGGAAGTTAGAAAAAGAAGAGAAGTAATCTTCAGCTTGTTGATGGGGCCAAAGGATCATGTTTGCTATCTTCTCGGAGGTTCAATCCTCGTTTAGGTTGTGTATTGCCTCTGAAATCCATCAGAATTTCAAGGCGTCGTGGCAAGACGCCTTGAAACCAGGTTACATCAGCCACAGGATCGCAATCCGGCAAGAGGAGTACAGCCAACAGCTTCATTCTCGTGGTATTTTCGTCATGAGAGTCTTAGGGACGGGGAGCTGACCTGCAAAGTATTGTTCCGCCCCCATTTCCACAACATCTCCAACATGCAGTGCGACGTTCTCCGGGATGATTTCCTTGAGGTTTCGGAACGAAGAGCTGCTGGGCAATGAGTGCTGACAAAATTCAAACGTTCCGACTTGGCAGTATGGGTTTCCTTGTCTCCAAAGGACAGGGAATAGGGCTGTAAGCAGTACAACGCCGGTACACTTGGCTCGATCCCATCTTGTGCCCGCCTCCCCGATGCATACTAAGTCGAGTTGTACCGACACACACTTCTCACTATCAAGCACGAAACCACTTTTATCGAAGCAAACAATCGCATGCCACTTTGCCGCTCTGCCGTGCGATATCTTGATATGTACGAAGGAAGGATTTCCGCAAACAATTGTTTGCTCCGCCAAGAGCCAGAGTTACATCCTGTGGGCCACGGCCCCTCGACGACTTCGAACATGTTGTTGGTCGATGAGGGATAATCCTCTGCGTCGACATCATCTCCAAAGAGCTCATCTCCGAACCTTTGAACAGCCGCCTCCTGATTTTTCCTTTTCCAAATTGTGGAGGCGAGTCATGTTGGTGAAGTTTGGGCAGATTTACTTACCCTATCCATGGTAAACAAGTGAGCCGTTGGCCGGTTGTGTAGGCCAAAAATGTGCATTCAAAGTATATTATAACGATCGCCTCCGAAGAAGCAGAAGCTCTGCTTTGCAACCCTCACTCCAGAAAAGGAGGAAATGTGGCCCGTACGACGGAGGTCCTTCTAATCCATTCCGCCTGAGCATGGATACGCCTCTGGGATGCTAGATCCATATATGAATCAGCAAGGAGTGGATTCTTCCTGTGACGCACCCTGGGTTCCGTTCGACTACGTGTGTTGGGGCCGCTGTCTGGTTCTATCGGCTTTGACCAAGATCTGACGCAAAGGGCGGAGGATCTGAAGGCTCGGCCGTACACTACTCTGTAAATCTCTCGAGTCTCCCCCGCCCCTGATTCCAAGCAGAATGATGGGGGGCTGCGAGAGCGAGGGTAAGTGGCAGCCGGGACCCAATAGGCATGATATTCCTCTATCTTGGACTCCGGAGACTGGAGCCATCGGTCCTTTTGTCAGGGCTGTCCCGACCCATTGTCGACCCCAGTTTCGGCGGCCCGCTTTCTGACTAGTCATTCTCCTCTTCTGCACCAGCCTAACTACCGGGGCTGGACCAGGAACCCCAGTCCATAGAGACAACTTCGAACACTCCCCAATAACAGAACCTTATTGTGAGTTCGGACCAGACTTCTTGATCGGGACGTGGATCGTCCAGCAAACACTGTGCCTCTTATTGATGTTGGAAGGGCAGCGATCCCACGAATGAGAAGCTGTTCGGTTGCGGAACAACTAGCTCAAGATCTCAAGCAGTGAGTATGGTGAGTATGGTGAGTATACTTTTAACAGGAATGCGACTGCAATACAAGAAAGGAAGCCTATCCTGGCATTAAAGCATAGGCCTCATAAGTATTTGAGTTGAGATGGATACCAATTACATGTGTCGTGGCAGATCGCACATATCAGGAGTTCTCAAAGGGACCTCGAGTGATCCATGCTCTCTTCTCGGCATCATCTAGAGTTCATCCCGTCGAGAAGAGAAAAGGTGGGAGAAAGTGCTTGAGGCATGCAATTTCGTCGAAGGGGGAGGCCCGAATTTTCCACGTTGAACCCTGGTCCTTTACACCCTCGGTACACCCGAGCGTGGCCACCGAGGATGGCGAGTGAATCCCGTCAGAACTCAGTACGATAACATGTATATACGCTAGATCGGATGCTGTTCCCTTTTCCAATAGATCCAAGATTTCGGTTGCTTGCGAATCTGAACCATTTTATTGGCATCATGTCGGAAGTCTCTGTGATCCCAGCCCCGCCGGGCATCACGGTCGACTTTGACCACCCGAGGCAGCAAAAGGTGCTGGAGCATTATCTTCTCTTTGGTATTGGCGGTACGATTGCCTTTATCGCCCTGTGCCAGAGATTTTACACCAAATTATTTCTTTCCAAAGGACTGCAAGTTGATGATGGTGAGTTACCTTGGTTGATCGACCTAGCATCTCGCACGCCCAATACTGACTATCGAAAGCTTTCATGTTTCTGGGATGGGTAAGTTGGACTTCACGATCCATTGATCGCTGTTCAGCTCCTTGGCTACCAGATCATCGCCTAACCTTCCTTCTCTCAGGGTGCCTCCGTAGTCACTCAAGCAATGCTTGTTGGTAGGTGTAACCCATCTTGCATGCTGCAAGTCACTTGAAGCTGACCAGATTGATACAGCTTCTATCGCTGAAGGTGGCATGTGCGTCCATGCTTGGGAGATGCCGATGTCAAGATTTGTGCGCTACTCCATCGTGAGTCTATCGCAGAAGTCTCTAGTTCCCATGCTGTGCTGACCTAGCAAAGACCACCTACGTAACAGCGCCTGTCTTCATGCTGTGCAATGGCTTCACCAAGTTGTCTCTTTTGACATTCTACCTTCACCTTTCTCCGCAGAAGTGGTTTAGAATATCAGTATGGACGGGCATCGCGGTAGTCTCCCTATATACAGCATGCATTACTATTCTGATGCTGTTCCACTGCAACCCCGTCAGGAAAGCTTTCGACTTCACCATCACCGGGGGAAAGTGCCTCGACGTTGGTATTCTATACATGGCTACGGCTGTTTCGAACATCATCACCGATGTCATGCTATTCATTTTACCGATGCCCATGATCTTCAGTCTTCGCATGAAGATGGCATCGAAGATCGGCGCCGTTATCATCTTTGCCATCGGATCAATGTAAGTGGCCCTTGTCACTCGAGGTCCAAGCACATTTCACTGATAGCATGGGAAGGACGGTGGCCACCTCTGTCGTGAGACTTACCTACCTACCCCCGCTGCTCGTTAGCGTAGATCCGTCATGGGATGCTGCACCTGCAAATATCTGGACGTAAGTGTCCTCGATCACTGCATACTTTTTCGATTCCCAGACCTAACCCTTCCTGTCGATAGATTCGTCGAAGCCAACCTTTTTGTAATCTGTGGTTCGATGCCCACCCTGCGAAAATTCTTCAAGCACTTCGCGCCGAAACTCATGGGCTCCTCGACGAACCCATCATCCTACGCAGTCGGTGGATACCGAATGTCATACGCGCATCAAAGGTCAACCAATGCTATGAAAAGCAGGCAACGAAAACAATACGAGCAATTTCGAGACGAGAACGAGATGCATACTTTTCACTCCGACCGCAAGAGGACAAACGAAGAAGACCCTGGCTTCTCGTCCGTAGTAGTAGCCGGCGGGAGGGAGAGCGCTGACGACATGAGTGACAAGGCGATTCTACAGACCAAGACCGTCACGATACAGCGCGATTGAGGGATACATACACATAATGTCTTATGATTCGGGCCGGGTTTAGAGGGTACAAAATGCATTGGACTGGAGTTCGGTAATGGTTGAGGGTGTACTGGGAATCTAGTTCTGGACGGTCTGCATCATAGAGTCAAAAATTCACACGCAGGGTGGAAAAGATAATTCGTTAAAATATTGTTTAGTCTCTGCCACTGGCCTTTATTGTGATCCTAGGTAGGTATTGAAGCTGGTATCTTACACTGGAGTATCCTCAACACCGTCCGTAAACACGATACTAACGTTGATGGTTGCTCAGATACTAGAGCTGAACCAAGCTCCTATCGACTCAGGTTGGCTAATACTGTCTCGAACTGCCGAGCGAAGGTACCGCTTTATCTCTGTGTTGCTTTCGTTCCTGCCGGTCAGCCTTGATTGAAGGTCTGAGTTCAAGATCTGTAAGTGAATCGTACGACCAGTTTGCAAATCATCTGCACGAGCCTTGTCGCCCTGGTCTCGAAGCTTTTCGAACAGGCCGTACAAGCGTGTCCGATATCTCGTACGCCGTAAGTAACGGACGGCAAATATTTTCCCGTCAGCAATTAGATGGGATAGGGGTTGGTAAAGTACTCTCTTTCCAAGTCATTCCGGCTAAAGCCGACAAGATTCAAGGTACTTCTCTTCCAGAGGCCCCCTTGAAGTTTGATGAACACCCCAAAACTCTAACAGGAAAACTGGGACTTCCATCAACTTGGGTTCTAACTAGAATACAGCGGCTATTTTAGCGGGCGTCCCTGACATGGAGCCCCTTGTTTCCTGATCGTGGTGGTGATGGTTCGGATGCAGCCGAGCAAATCTCTTGGCGAGTCGTAGCCCCCTTTCTCCCGTTATTAGCTTCTCAATACACCGTCCAAGTGCTTTTCTCTCACTTTGGGGCTCACACAAAAGTGGCTGCTTTAAACGTTACAGAGTGATGCCTAAAATAAGCAAGGTAATGAGTGTAAGCAGATAGACAGGGGGTTATTGGTCATGTTAGCGCTTTCGGGCACCTAATAACTCGGAGCTAACTTCTCAATTCTATAAACAATTTTTGTTCTATAGAACATATATTTTTATACTAACAGCTTTTACGGTTAGAGAATACTATTTAATTAAAGGTACTATTATCCCTCCTTTACCCTAAATTTAGACTAACTTATCGCGCGACTTTTACATATATTATTAGCGAAATACTATTATAGTTAGCTAGTTATAGAAGTATATTTATAAAGGTTAAGGCTATAATATTTAATAATAGTGTCGTTCGTTCTTATAATATAATAATTAGATTATTACGGCCAGCTAAGTATAATAAAGTAAGTTCGCACAAGTTTTGAATATAAAAATTAAAAAAATAAAAAAGTCGTTTAATAACTTCGAAGGAAGTTATATTTTATAAATTATAAGATGAAACTTTAATAGTTAATAATAATTTTTTTAAAGAGTTTTTATTTAGAATAATTAAAAATAATTATAAAATTTAATATAAAATTAACATTTGAAAGAACTATAGAATATCTATTTTTAAATCCAGCTTAAACTTATCTTATATATAAATTTTATCTCTAAATATATTTTTTATATTTTATAAAATCGTTTTAAATTATCTTGATTTAAAATAATTATTTAAATTTTAGATTATATTGAATTATTTTATATTAAAATAATTTTTATTTTATTAATGTAAAATAAATAAGGCTTTAGTAATTAATTATAGTCTTATTAAAAAGGTTCTTAATAAAAATAGCTAAAAATGATTATAAAATCTAATACTAAATTAAGTATTAAAAAAGTTATAAAAAGTCTATCCTTAAGCCCGGCTTAAATCTATCCTATATATAAATCCCGTATATTATCTAAACAGTTCTTTTATAATTAGGACCGATATTACGATATCGGTCCTATAAAGGTAAATCGCCTTTATTTTATCGGTCCTATTTATAAACTACTTATCGTTTATCGGTTTTTATTATTATTATGTAACTTACCTATAATTCTTCCGACCTAAAAGGAGTTATCCTAAATCCGTTCCTCTATATATATAATATAATAGCCGCCGTAGGCCTTATAGGGCGAGACCCTGGCCTCGTTATATATGTTAGGTCGTAATAGCGGAGGTCGTTTACTTCTTTAACTATTTTAATTTAATTATTTATTTAGGCTATTACTATATCGTTATTTAACGTCTAGTAATTATAATTTAAGGGTTTTTTATACTCCTATACCCTCTCTAGCCTTACTAACCTCTTAATAAAAAAAATAGGCAATTTCTTTTTAATATTTTAATTATTTTAAATAAAGTAGTTTAACGAGGTTATTAAGAAGAGCTGTCGCTATAGGGCTAGGCTTTTTATTTATAATGTCTTATTAATCGCCTCCCTTATATAATAATAGCATATATACCCTCTTATTCTTTTTATTTTTTTTTACCCTTTTTTTTACGCCTAAATTAGCAGGTTTTTATATTATTATTAGCTATTCTCGTTATTTAATACCGGAGTTTAGTCTTACTTTTTATTTTAACTTAAATATAATATAGGGTACAATATACCCCTAGCGGATAAAACTAAAGCCCTAATCGTTTTAGTATTAGTTAAAGGTCGGTAAGCTCTATATTTATAATTAATAAAAAATATTTATAATTTATTTATATTAATATTTATTATTTTAAAAAATATCAATATATTATTAATATACTTTCCTTTACTTTAATTACTTATATTATATTAATCTTATATTTTTATTTTATATTAACTATACTGGTTTATAAAAGCTTAAAAATTATAGGAGATATAGTTAAATATTATAATTAAAAAAGATATAAAAAGTAAATCTAGTATATTATATAAATTTAAGCTTAATATTTTTATAAAGCTATTATAAGAATTAGCTTTTCTTTTTAGGCTAGGCTTTACTAAAGATTTACCGAGCCTTAGCCGCAGCCTTATAGCTAGGCCATGTCGAGCCTTAGCTATAGCCTTATAGCTAAGCTAGACCTGGTTAGTTGCCCGTACACTAGGCACCCTTATACTTAAAAGCTAGTTACCGGCCTATAACGGTCATAATATATTATTTATATAAATAAAATAAAAATATAGTTACTCTTTACGGGACGGAAAAATTATAAAATAAATTATACTACTAAAAGCGAGAAGTCGCTGCTGTGGCCGCCTAATCTGGTGGAAAGCGTCGCCGTTTTACGCGGCGTAAGCAGTGAGGGGAACTCGGCGAAGGGCGGACACAGCCAGGTATTAAATACTTGTCCAGCTGCCTCCAACATCCACCCGCACCCTGGTCATGGCAGGGCGCCCCACGCTGCTATTTTGGTCCAAGCGCTGCCATGTCCTCCCTGTCCGTTGATTATGCCACCCGTTTCCTATTGCCAACTCCCTCGCTTTTTGACATCCGTTGGAGTCATTTCTGGCTGCTCAGGCTGCTCAGGTCCCGCTTGACCAAATGGCGCCGCCCTCCATAAAGAGCGGCATTGCGCCCGCCGTTTTCTCTCGTCTTCTCTCGTCTCGCTACATGATCACGACCCCTCCTTTCCTGCTGATGCGACGAGCGACCATCTGCCAGCCATGCCCCGGTCAGTGCTCCCCGATTGCCGCCCTACGCAAACAAACGCGACCGCAGACTTTCTGAAGCGATTCACCGATCGAGAAAGACAGCAGAGGACCGCGAACCAGCCGAAGCCGTTCTCAGCTGCGGAGCATGCCGCCCTCCGCAATCAGCTGAAGAACGTCCACTTCATCAAGCCAAAATATTCAGACGAAACCGAGATCAATATTGCGGTCGTATGCAGGAAATGGAAACGGTTCGTCGCTAGTAACCCAGAACCTATCTTCTTGTTGACTGACCTACAAAATAACAGGTACTGTAAGGAGCAGAACTTCGGCGAGTGGCAGGCGGCCCTGGAAACCGTAACCCGCGAGACAATGATGAGCTTCTTTCTCCGGGTTAGCGAGTGGTCCATAGGGAAAATCAAGTCATGGGGTACACCGCAGGTATATATCCGTCAGTTTCAGCAGCTCTATACCAACGCCACCGGTCGCTACATGGACAGGAATGATGTGAAAGAGCTCTATAAGGTATTCATTAGCTTGCGGCAGTCGACACTTTTACAATGCTGACATGGGATGGGCTAGTTTCTCCACACGGTCCTGATTCCCCGCTTCGGATACCGGGCACCTAACATCAACGGGAAGCCTGTCCTCGGCGCTGATAATCTCCTGGCCATCTTGACTTTCAATATCGCGTATGACGATGGTATCTTCCCATCAGAGCGACAGCGCCCTCAGCTGGCTGGTTGCTACCAGCTTCTCTGCTATACTGGTGCACGACCTGCCGAGATTGTGCATGCTGAAAGGAAGAAGCCCAAGGACGGATGCACCGACGAGATTTTCAAGCTCAAAGGCGTCAAGTCCATCAATTACGAGTGTGGCAAAGACGTCGAGAACGTGGACGAGGACGACCAGCCACCGCAAGACGAAGACTCCCTTCTCCTCGACAGATTGTTGCTACAAGAAACAGCTGGGCGCGGGCGTCCCAAAGCCTTGTGCTATGAGGACATCCTCATGATGATTGTTCGCCATCCAGTGACGGGACGAGCTGTACCAGCGATGGCCATCAAGTTCATCCACCACAAGGGGGCCGACAACAAGCCCAAGCCGTGAGTATACGTGGCACCGCGTTTCCGACCCCGTTTCGTAGTGATCATACTGACTATGCACAGGACTGTCTTCTTCTTCACGCCTGCGAGGAAGCTTATCTTCTGTGCCGTCAGCACTATCATCGCTCTGGCGCTCCACGACCAGGCTTTCGACGCAGCGAGCTTAACAGATGCGACCCAGGTGCTAAAAACCAAGATCCGGGGTCCGGTTCAATCTACGGCTATACGGTGGAAGCCGTCAATGCTAAAGGTTCCAGTTTTTCGAAGGTTCAACGGTGCTACGTTGGCGATGGACGAGGCCATGACCTATGCCAAATTACGAGACGACATGGGCCGACAGAGCCTTGATGCAGGTTTCGAGAGGGCTTGGACGCCACGGTTCGCCCGGAGAGGGGCGGCAAATGCAGCAAACGGTAGGTCGAAGTAAGCAGCGGTTGCAGAGGATCACCAATACTAACAGCTTCTGCCTCAGGGAATGCGTCTGATGCCGTTCGCGACCAGATGATGCGCCACGATCCCAAGTTCGCTACTTTCCACGGCGCGTACCTTAATGAGAATGTCGAGTTCGACCTCCAGAATACTTTCCTAGAAGAAGAAACGGAAGAGCAGATGTACAAAGTGTTTGCGCATGTTAGCCTCACGCGCGATCCCCGCGCAACGAGAGACATGGTCCCCAAGGACGTCTGGGAAAACTTGTCACCCGATCCGGAAATTTTGGAGCTGGAGGAACAACGACGGAAGTTAAAATGCGGTTACTACCGAGTGCAAGGCACAGAGAACGAAGCCGAGATCCGCAGGCTAACAGAGAAGATACGCACGAAGGTGGATCGGCGCGACAAGAACGTCGTGAAGGAATATCGCGAATATTATTTTTACAACCGCCCAACATGGGATATCGAGAGGCAGGCAAACGGCGAAGAAGAGAAGTATGCTGAACCCGAAATTAACCTCCAGATCCCCGAACGCGCCAGACTGGCCCAGATCCTCTGCCACCAACCAGCCGACTGCACTCACGACGAACTAATGGAGCTTTGGATCGAAGCTATCGATCTGATGGTCGCACTTTGTGATAAGAGAGAGACAGTCAGACAGACCCGCATCCGCTCCCATCCTCAACCCAAGCCACCGATCGAAGAGGAGACTCCTCAAGCCAATCGCTTCCCACTCCTCCTCGACCCGAACCAGTGTCCTGATTGCGTCGGCGACGAGAGGCTCCCCCTAGAAGAACGAACGTTCAAGTACTGCCGGCCGACGGTCAGAAACGACCACTTTGACAACCAACATTTAGTAGAACGAGAGCGTGCTGTACAACGCGGTGATCTCATTCGGTGTAACCATCCTCAGTGCCAGCATGACCCAAACTTCCCGACACTTGATGCGTTCAGACGGCATGTACAGACCTCCCATGGAGTTTCGCTTAGGACCTCAGACCAGGTCATGCAACGACGATCCAAAAAGGTCAAGCGTAGACAGATGGCTCGAGGGATGGAGGCCCAAATTGAGGGCCGGGCCTAGATTAGATCTACAGAGTATGTACCGTAGACGCTTAGATAGACACAAAGACGTTAGTGTTCCCAACACCTCTGTCCTGGATCTTCTATGCAACGTAATATTAACTCGTGATCACTAACACGTTGATTTCAAAGCCTAGCCAATTGTAACCCTACTCGAGCCTTTTGAACACCGAAGTTTTGCACCAACCTAAAGGCTGCCCTTCCTGCGGAGAAGGCAGAGATTGTTGGTGCCAGGACAGGAGGCCAGGGTACAGCGACCCCAAGCCTGCCACCCTCTTGACCCCTTTCATTATTGCAATGCCGCACACATCTTGTCAATGGCCTGTCTTCATGCAATTTGTTTTGTGGCTATAAAACGCTAGGAATGCGCCGGGGTCCTTCAACGAAAAGCACCGATCGTGGAGTTATCTCGGCGGCGGCTCTGGCAGGCCGATCGGGACCGGGCTAGCAAATGAAGACTAGGCTCTGGGCGCTTCGCGGACGGACGCTTCGGGGACAGTTACTGTGGTAAGATGCGGATCTCTCTTACTGGTAACAGTCGCCGAAGGGTCCGTTTGTGGGCCTGCCGAAGCGCCCACCCCGATCATGCTACTATTAAAGGGTTCCACATCCGGGCGCCCTGCCAGTAACCCACGCCGAAGCATCCCGTCTATCGGCCCCCGAAGCGCCCACCCCGGCCATGCTACTATTAAAGGGTTCCACATCCGGGCGCCCTGCCAGTAACCCACACCGAAGCGTCTGCGGGTCCACCTGTGGGCGCCCCGAAGCGCCCACCCCGGCCACGCTACAATTAAAGGGTTCCACATCCGGGCGCCCTGCCAGTAACTCACGCCGAAGCATCCCGTCTATCGGCCCCCGAAGCGCCCACCCCGGCCATGCTACTATTAAAGGGTTCCACATCCGGGCGCCCTGCCAGTAACCCACACCGAAGCGTCTGCGGGTCCACCTGTGGGCGCCCCGAAGCGCTCACCCCGGCCATGTTACTGTCAAAGGGTTCCGCATCCGAGTGGCTTAATGGCACCAGTCGCCGAAGCGTCCCGTCTGTTGGCCCCCCGAAGCGCCCACCGAAGTTCGGTGCGGGTTGCTCGGCATAGTAGTGGGGTCTAGGCGGGCGCTTCGGGGTGCGTCGGGGTGCGGTGCACCAAAGCTAATTCACCTTCGATGATTCCTAGTCTATGGTTTAGATGGTGTATAAATATCCAGTGTAGACGACACAGTGTGGTATCAACCCTCTGGTATCCAGTCTCAACACTAACATGGATGCCCCCAAACTTGACTTACTTCCGCTCAAGAAGCGTGATAGAACCAACGAGAACTTTGAAAAAGTCAGAGAGAACATTATGCGACGATGCAATGAAATAAGCCATCGCTACCAAACGGACGTCTACATAACATTACGAAGGAAACATAAACATTATGAATATAGCTCTACTGATGACCCGTCGTGGCCGATATCGAGAGCTGATATGGTAGGTAGCTCCCTTGCTTAATCCCAACGCTAACCCCCTGAAGGAAAGGGTCTATCCCGTGCCTCTGAGGAAGACGCCAGCCAATTTCGTCCGTCACAGAAGCCGCGCAACAAAGGCGCATCTACATATCGTGAAATCTACGTCCGGGGTTGAAAAACTGAAGGTATGCGCAGGCGAGGACTCTACGCCAAGCGGTTTTGTCGGTGTAAATACAGGGGTGATAGGTCTACAAGGAGCAGCCGTGAATGAGTCACTACCACTCGCTTAAATAGATAGGCATTCTGCAATACTGTCAGGCAGTGAAACGTATGGGGCTAACAGTGTATTTTGAGTTGCTTGAGTGAATAATGACTGTAACAGGGATCGATTCCCACTGTATAAGAGAATATGGCTCAGACCCCATATTGCATGAGTAGTGTACGGGCATATTTAATAAGGTCGCATGTTGCCACCTAAACTTGATTTAGGAGATGTCTTTTAGGGTATGTCTTTAGGGGATGTCCTTTTGGAGATGCCTTTGAGGGGTGCATACGGGTGTGCACAGGGGTATTTGAGGGATGACCTTTGGGGGATGACCTTTGGGGGATGACCTTTGGGGGATGACCTTTGGGGGATGACCTTTGGGGGATGCCTTTCTTGAAGGATGCCTTAGTGGACCCCTTCGAAAGTAAGGCATGCCAAGGGCAATGAAATCAAGGATCCCAATTCTGGGCCCCACCCCATTGCGAGCAGGGTACAAACCCGAGGCGGTGCAGCCAAAGCCACAAGGACGTCGCAAAGGCTTCGATGTCCCGTCGGTACCCCACCAACGGCCCTTGGTTCTGCCTGGCTTCACTGATGGGCGCATCCTTCGCCCACGTATGCTTCTTTCGTAAAGTAATCCCTTCTTTGTAAGAAAGTCTGGGATAGTTGAACATCAAAATGTTCTAAGAACTTTCTGGTTTGCTTCGACCCCTGTCAGATCTCACGTGACATGCCCAGTAGTTATCACCTCAGGGCCACTGTTCCCCGCTTCACCTACGCAGCTCTAAAAATTACCTTGCGTATCCTTTTCTATCTGACTTGGGCCACTTCAGATGCCACGTCCAGCTAACAATACCCGTAGCGTATACGTAGAACCCTCCGGGTCCGAAAGAATTAGAGTCTACCGGGATCGCGACTGCAGGGCCATCTTTTGCTACTTCAACAACGCTCGCCTGCGCCAGCGAAAGGCGATCACACACCTTCAACACTGCCTATGGGTCCTTGGCTTCTCGTCCGAACGCCTGATCACTGTACTTCAATCCCTACTACAGGACGGCATATTTGAATCTTCTCCTCTACCCGGGCAGCCTTCCCTGAGCTCTTCCAGCCCTAACATCCCACCCCACCAGCGCCTGCCCCTCTCTCCGTCTCCATGCCATTCAAGCCCATTGTAGCGCCTCCTAGTCGGCCACAGAAAGACCTCTATGAATCCCTCGAGACGCAAGGACCCCCCTCAGTCATCTCCTCATCCGGTTTCATTCTAACTCTATAACAGCCTCTACTGTACTGGAAACTACTCAGATCTAACTATATCCTCAGCTACCAAGAGCTATCCTGTCCACCGCGCTATCGTCTGTCCACGCTCCGAATTCTTAGCTGCCGCATGCCGCAACCCTTTCAAAGTACCTACGTCTCTATTCTATATACGATATAATCACTAACGTGAGATGCTGCACAGGAAGCTTCCGACGGCGTTATTTCCCTTCTCGATGACGAACCATACGTTGTAGACATAATGATCCAATATTTTTACCGTCTCGACTACCAACAATCTCTCGACTTTGACAACTATTCAGTATTGCCAGACCAGCCAAATAATGACACAGACCTTTCCAGTCTCTTTCTCCACGCCAAGGTATACGCAATGGCAGAAAAGTATGGCATTGGCGGTCTGAAGGACCTTTCCGTAACTAAATTCAGAACGGCTGCTAAAACAAAATGGGATGTTATTGATTTTCTTGATGCTGCTGGCGAGGCTTACACCTCTACTATCGACACTGATCGGGGCTTGCGGAACGTCATCCTTGAAGTATTTGCCGAACACGGGAACCTGCTAGATCGGGATGAGGCAAAGTCGCTCGTTAAGAGACTAGGCTCACTTGCTTATGATCTCATTATGCATTTCCATCAGGAGGGGAAACTTTTGTATTAAGACATCTTTCGCGCCTCGTGGGTTAGTCGGGATCAACGGCACCAGAGATCGGGCAATACACTAGTACAGCGGATCTAGACCGCGCTCTCACCTCACCCACCTAAGCTGGCCGTCCAAATTCGCAACGTCTTCAATGAACAGTATGTATATTGTTGAAATTACTGATAAACGTATAACTCCGTTACAGCCCGCTACAGCCCGCTACAGCCCGCTACAGCCCGCCGACCGGTGCAAGAGAACATGCAGCTGAGTTAGACCAGTAAACCACACATGGCCAATATAGCAGCGTCCGTTCCCTCTTCGACGTTCACGTCTCCGACATATCCAATCTTGCCGTCGCCAACTTTCGCGAAAGAGATTGCAGCCTGCGTCACATCTCCAACTCTCTCAGAAGGGAAGACAAGCGATTCGGTGACGGAGGTCTGGTCGGGTCCGTACATGACCGCAGTCGAATGCACTCCCTTTAGAAACAGGGCCTTCTGGCTGTACCGGCCCGGAAGTTTTGCCGCAGCGCTGCCTGCTACCTGTGGGTTGAGTGCGACGGTGGTTCGGTGGTAGGCACCACTGTCCCAGGCTAAGCCGGCTTTTGCAAAGAAGGGCCGGACATTATTGGGCTTGACGAAGCTGCTGAATTAACCCATAGCGATGGCGGTTCCGCCCTGGCGAACGTAAGCGATGACGGCATCCCATACGTCGGGATACCCTTCGGTGAGGCCTTGGTCCGTAATGAGCACGGCGACGGGGGGCGGTTGCTGTTGCAAGAGGTCGAGGGCGCTGGCCGGCTTTTTGGCCCGTTGGACACTTGCCTTCTCAAGAAGTTGAGTGAATAATCTTGCGTATGTCTCGTCAAAAAAAGACTTATATTTTAACGAGATGGCCACGATACGGGGCCTGGATTCGGGTGTAACGCTCATAATAGTGATGTAAAATGAATGCCTCTTTGAGTACTCAGACGTTTATCGAGTTCGTACATTGGGGCTAATAAATGCAACACCGCCGGTGGATTACGAACATCTCGTAGGCGATCAGCCGCATCGCGTCCGCCGGTGCCTACGTTATCCTGGCCAATTGACTGGCTCCACGGGTTGGCAACGGACTGCGACGTTGACAAAATGCAGCCACTCGTTTGGTTTCGGTCGGCCATTACAGCAGGAAGTTCCTTTTCGGCTTTGATTTGTTTTACCCCTCGCCGATTCACGCATTGGTTAGCTGGCCTCCTGCATTAGGCCTGCATCAATCTGCATAATGATTGCAACCTGACCTCAACCCCCTGT